CACCTATATAGCAACTTACCTTTAGATTATTCACTGAAAAGCACCTTACTCTGACAGTATCTTATTTTTTTCCTTTTATTCTCTGCACTAGCTCCCAAGCCAGGTGCATGTCCAATGGTTGACTTGGGCACCATTGGCATCTGCAGCCAAGAGTGCAGCAGTGACAGTGATTGTGAAGGGGACCAGAAATGTTGCACCAACGGCTGTGGCAACACCTGCATGCCTGCTTATGATCCAGCCGGTAAGCACCAGGAGAAACCTTGGTGTGCGGTGCTTTATGTTTTCCTTTAAACTTCACATTTTGTCCTCAGTCAGTCATTTAAAAGAAGATGTTTTTAATTTTTTTTAATAGTGATAACTGATAACTTTTAACTCCATACGTCCTTTGAATCCTTCTAAAAATCCATGGTGTTTAAGTGGCACATTATATTTTTCTTAAACTTCCAAGGTGCGTCAAGACCTGTGTGAAATGATAGTCATTTAGCTTTACTAGTTCTTAAAACCTGCAAAGTTTCCTAACCTTCCAGGAGGGTACAGTTTAATGATGTGAACGAAAAGCAGTAGATTCTGCTAAAATAATCAAGCTTCAGTGGCTGGATACTCCTTGTTTTTAAAGTAGTACCTCGTACATGTTCTGGACTGTACACTTTTGATTTCTTGAGTCAGTTTAAGTTTGCCTGGTACACAAGGCCCTATGAGCCCTATCCCCCCATCTGAATTACGTGTGCCCTTCTGCACACACTCCACGATCACCTAGCAGTCCCTGATTGTAAATCTCTCTGCATCCGTGCCGGGTGTCCTTCTCATGGCACTCACCCTTCTCTCCACAGTCAACAACTTCAGTGAGTGCCCGCTGGTGACAGACGTAGGCCTCTGCGCGGAGGAATGCTCGGCCGACTCTGACTGCGGATCGGAGAATCTGATCTGCTGCTTCAACGGGTGCGGCCATACTTGCACCCCCTTGCTCGGCATCCCGACGAAACCAAGCCTTATCTCTTTGGGTAAAATCTTGTTGAAGTAATTTGGGTTTGATATTTCAAGTGGCCTCCTCTTTAGAGAGTATATGAATCCGGCAAAAAAACATCTAATTGTGTTCAAGAAGAGTAGAGAAAATGAGGTGGGTTTTATGAGGGAATGTTATGGTACAATTACTGATACATCAGGACACCTTTCAACTCTGTGGAAAATTGATTTATAAATGAGCAACAATATATATTATTGTATAAAACATTATGGTATACAAAATGAAATAAGCTTTTTCATCATGATCTTTGCCAATGTTGTTTTTTTTTTAAAGGTTCAATTTATTACAACAGGCGTCTTTTTGCCGATCAGATTCCATTTGGTCAAATACATTATCACTCTGATCCCCCATCCCCCTTAACACTTTTGGGAGAAGTGTTTTGGAGATACAAATTCTCCTGCCGAGCAATTAGCCAGACTACAACAGTCCACTCCATTGATACGTTTCTTTGAAATATTCCAAACTGCCTTGTGACATTTTTTATCTCCCCTGCCAATTGATGCCTACAGATTGCCCATACTGCCTGACCGATCTGGTCGACCTTCCTGATGATATCAGGGCGCTCATTTGTGAAGCAGACATGAGTAAGTTTATCCACTTTCACATTTGGAATGGTAAACCGTGCCCTGTCAATGGAGGTTTCTTCTCCAGTTTCTAAGAAATGACTTCCATTAATTAGATCCACCGTTATATTTGTTTGTTTTTCAATTTTTTTGTTCACTTTTCATTGAACCGTCTACTTGGCAGGTTTTTTTTTAGGCAGTTCAGGTTGTGTATTTTACAAATATCATCCTTCACGAAAAAACAGTACATTGGGCCAAAGAAAAAATTACGGGGAAGCTTCAGCATTTCTGAAGTTGAGCTATTTATTCATGAACCAACTCCAACAGCAAAAAAAATTTGCCATTTACAGGAAAGGTACAGTTAAACAAATATATAAATCATTAAAATAGAGATGTTTGAAAACACAAATATGAAAGAATATACATGTATACAAATAAGAAATGAATGAAATAAGCAAATAGGCTGTGTACAATCAAAATGTATTTTGGTCATTCCAGAAATGAGGGGTCCACCTTTTTTCGTGTCCCTGTCACATCTGACATATGCTTTTGTAATTTCAGAACACATTTTTATTTCCAAGAGTGATGAATTAATGTAAATTTACCTGCCAAACAGAAAGTAAAAGTTTGAAATTAATGCTGGTGATATTTCCATGTCAAATAACAAAGGTCAGATGTAACAGGGACACAAAAATGTCACACTTTTGGACCCCTAATTTCTGGAATCACCTATATTTGAAATTTGCAAATATTCAGTAATCTGAATTACCTAAAAGACAAAATGGAGAAATAATAATATTATAAGACCAACAGGATAGCTAACAATAGTTAGCTATGGAAAAATGGGCGAGATTAACTTCATACGTGAAGGTTTGTTAAGGTTTCAAAGTTTTCCAAGTTTGTCTTAGTTGTTAAACAAATTCTCGGGGGGGAAAAAGATATTGTTGAGATGAAAAATTGCTGTCCGGGAAAAAAATTGTCCAGACTAAGGTTTTGAAACCAGTGTGAGCCTAGAATATACTTGTATCGACCAGCTGACTGAAGCAAATTCAATGGATGAACCACGGAGTCAGCTCCGTGAAACAACAGAGCATGTTCCCCCCCCCATAGTTTCAGTAATGTGCACAGTCTAATGTACAAGCCATAGTTGTAATTTGTTTTGATGTCCCCTTTAAGAAATGTATGCATGCCCAGGCGTCCCCTTGGAAAGTTAGTTCTACCCTGGTTATAGCCACTGTAGCTTAGGCTGACTGTGACCTTTCAAGTTGCAGCAGACGTCGCTGTTGCATCCAAGGCAAAGTCTCATGTCATGAATGAGCATGTTGCAGAAACTGCTCTACAAATGTCAGCACCAGTCCTCTGAAATCCTTGCATTGATGAGTCAAACGAGCCTCGCGACAAATGGCATTGAATTAGACAGCTGCACTGAAGGACTTGGCATTTTCATTCATTTTGGTCTGTTGTGTAACATGGGTGCATTGCTGTGTTAGGGGTAGAATTTTTCCCCTGAAAGTTTTGCTTTGAACCACAATAGACAGATCTCTGTTGCCTGAAAACAGCATACACGTACCTTGTGGAAGCAGAGTATGGTATGTGTGCTGTCTCACCCTGAACGACCTGGTTAGGGCTTGTTAGAATGTGAGCACCCCCTTCTTGTAGCAGACAAGAATGCACAAACTCAGCATCCCTTGCAGAAGTATGTCACAGGGGAGCTTTTTCAATGTAGCTGTCAGAATTTTAAACGGTGTCCCGTCTGTGTTACTGCATGACTGTCTGATGTCTTCATACAAGTTTCTGTTTTCAGTGTCATAGTCTGCATGTATGCTTTGCTGATTTGAGATGCAACTGCATGCAGACCTGTCCAGTAAGGTGTGAAGTATTAATTTCAGTGCAGTAATGGGTAGAGTTGGATTTTGTCTTTGACTCTTACCACAGCCTAAGCAATTTTTGTTGTTTTCATGTGTAAGGGTTAATTCGAAAACAAACTTACTCTTGTGTGTGTACCTTACATGTGGCATTCTGCAGTGAACTGCATGTATACTATTAAATGCCCAATATGAGTTCCAGTGACATTTTCCTAGAATATTTTCACCATTGGGAAATTTAAGTCGTCTGTCAGAACTTATTTCAACTTATGTCTTCATCTTATTGTCATTGGAATAGGAGATATAGTCCACGATCTGAGTGTTGCTTCCTGTTTTTGAATGAGCATCCAGAAATCGGGTTAACTACCCCACAAGTTCATTGGTCCTTGCACCTCTTTTGTGACAATCCAGAGACCAAACGGAAATTCACAATTCCGTTTTTTTCCTCTTTGTTGTTCAAGTAAAAAGTGAAGAGACGGATGACAAATACACCTGCAACATGCAGCATTGCTTGATGGTCTGTAAAGTGGATTACCAAGAGAAATAATTTGGGGCATCTTTCCCGGCTTAGAAAATATTTGAAAAGTCTGAGGTTCAGACAGCACTGATAGAATATTGCTTTTTTTTCCTCTGTGAAAGGTATACCCAATTCTCACTGTGGAATTTGTGCTCCACTCGCATTTGGAATTTGACATTGACAACATGCTTTCAACAAATGTACTCTCTTAGAATTTTGTACAGATATTGAGATATTCTACCAAGACTCTGACCAGGGTCATTCAGATCCTTTCCTCAAAGTAATGCCTTTGCCAGACCCACAAGTTGCCTATTGGGTTACTGTCTCAACAGGTCAGCATTTTTGTGTACCCCAATTTCCATATACAATTTCATCAGCCATGCTACAGAAGCCAGCTGTGCGTCTTAATGTCAAAACGCACTAAATGTATGTCATCCACTTGTATCTTTATTCACTTCATTCCTGATAATTTGTAACATGGAGAAATTCAGCACACTCTGGTGAATTCTGTATACATGCACTATTGCAGTGTCAAGGAATGTCTGTACTCATCCCCATGCTCGAGTAATTCCTATTAGATTTGTACATACACAAAGGTTCAAATTAGTCTGCACGTCGTAGTAAATATCCCTCTGTGACATAGTCTCAAAGTTTGAAATAAAGGACTATTCTGTAAATAATGTTGCACAGATCTTGAACAAATGACCACCAAAGGTCAGCATTTGTAGAACTTTGGTTGTTGATATCTTGCTCGTTTTAAAAAAATTAGTACTTTATTCGACCAAAATGAATGCCACACCTGGGACAACTTCATTGCAGGAATAATAGCAGGTGGTTAACACATCAACCGTCTATATTGCCTTTCAGTGATGGTGGTCAAGTGGAAGGCCAAGGACAACAGAGTGCGATTCCTGCGGGATCTTATCACAGATACAGATGTGACTCAGCCCTCTCGTCTCCTGGACATTGAGGAATCCTGCCCATGCTTCACCATTGTATCTGGTAAGTTGTGATTTGGGATGAGCATGAAGAATCCTGCTCCAGAACACATCGGGAAATTAAAGGATTGAAAGTTGTGCCGCAGTACATTTCGGATCTGGAAATCTGGACCAATAAGTAGCAAAGGTATTGCCCATGTGTGGTGCTCAGGTTTCCCTTGCGATTTCTCTTCATTTCCTGGTTATTTTGGCTTTTAAATTTAGCCACCAAAAGGGAGGAGAAAATTAACTCTTAACATTCGTCAAGTTAGCATGTTCACGCCAACTGGGAGGCATGCCAGGGAAAACAGTTACCCAAAACTATATATATACATGTAAATCTCATTGATCTTTTCCTGCACTTGACCAAGTGGCAACATATTGACAGCACAACATTTCCTGTGATTGGTACTCGTAATCCTTCACCAACCAGGATACATCCATGCATAAACCTGTGTTGTGGCAATGGAATCCCAGGCGACTTAATTGTTATAACAGTTATTGGGGCAGCATGCATGCCATGTCAGGAACTGTTCAGGGTCAACAGACGTGCAAAGACATCTTTGGCATGGCCCTTGGTCTGTCAGACCCTCCAATATGCCGGGACATTTGTGGTCAGAGAAATAACCTTTCAAACAGCAAGGGCTATTGACACTTTGAATCTTTCCATTTTTTTGATTTGTGGTCTGCATTTTATTCTGAGACTGTATATAAAATTTGTGCAAGAGTTAATGGCTTGCCTTGCCTACTTAAGTGCACACCAGAGACCAGTGTCTCTTTCTTCAGTCACTGCTTTAAATAGCCCTAATGGGAATATTTCATGGTGTCAACAAAAGGGAAAACGTGACCAGGGCAGATCCGGAAACAAATGTGGGGTGGGGGTGTAACATTTGGGAATTTCTTTTACATTAATTTTGTATGGCCTTTCTAGGAGTGAGGCTAAATTGCAAGAATTTTTCCCTCACACTTTTGGAAGGAAGGGAAATTAAGTAGTTCCTCCAAATTCACTTAAGAAAAAACTTTTCCTGTGGTTCATCCAGTGTTCATGGCATGATGTTTTGACCCTTTTTTGATGGCATTGTGTATGCATTCTCCTTTGCTTCAATTTTGACATTCTCCTACCTGTTCCCTCTCCCTTCTTGGCTTTCGTCCTGAAGATGAGCGTGTCATCATCGTGGGCCAGTCTGACCGAATCCTGACCGGAAGGGGCAAAGGTCGGGCAGTCACCCTTGGTATCAGTGCTTTTGCCATCAGGAATGATGCCAAACTCAAGAAAGCACTCGTCCAAATCCGTGGCAACTGCCCTTAAAAAAATTTGTATTTTTTACCAGCGTTTGGTGAGATCATAATTAATTCACCACAAGATGAGATTTTGTAAGAAAAACAAAAGTTCCCCACATTTGAAAAAGTTCCCATCAACTTGAAAAAAATATTCGATACCAATAAATGAACAAAAAGAGAAAACTCATTGGCACCAGATATCTGATGTTGATCTGATAGAGATAAACTTCCTTCACTAAAAGAAAGCACCATTGTTGTGCCTTTTTGTAGGTTAACATTTGAGTTTGTACAGTTTGAGATGGTGTTTTAGCTGTACTTACTGGACATTTAAGTCCATTTTCTACATATTCAAGACCTTTATAACAATTTTCACCTCATTTCTAGATCATGTATTTTTGTACCTTGAAGCAAGGATGAATTGGACTTACTTAAGCTTGAATCTTTTATAAAAATGATGAAAGATTTTTTTAGTTTTATAGATATGTACTTAAAGTGGCAAAATTTGGCACCGGCCACATTGTATACTCAATACAGAATTGCTTTTAATAATCTTCAGTTGAAAAGCAATGATTTTACCCACTTTGAGTTTTCCAGAAAAATGTCTTTATGTCAAGGTGTTTAGTGTTAATATTACCAGATGAATTTTTGCCACCTTTTTAGGTTCATTTACTGTAGTGTCTCTCTTGGTATCCTAACATATTATTTGCTGCACAAGATTTCATGCTCGAATGTTGTTGAGGTCAGATACAGAGGTGCCCTTTGTTATTCCTGACTGTAATCTGATTATTTGAAACCTAGAATTGATTGTTTAATGGTGCATGGAAAATATTTGTAACTTTTTTTTAAAGCTTTTGATCATTCACAAAGGAGCTAAATGCAACCTGTGTTTCTCTTTTTTTAATAAGTGAACTGTTTTAGCCGTGACTGTTGAGTCGGTTGTTTGTGATTGAATGTAATTAAAAGAGCATCAAGCATTGTAAGTGAATTGTACCATTTCATTGTGATGAAGCAGTATGTTAGTTTTCTTCATAAACCTTGGCACCGAATCGTGCAGTATTTCCAACCGAAAACAAACGCTTTGAAGGACGTCGGGTCGGCCAAGACTAGCTTGTGGGGTTGACCCGTAGCACTCGTCTGACACTATAGTCTTAGTGGGAATTTCTTACAGTTTTGATATTTGTGTCCACTGCTGCGGTAGTGTCAGTGCTCCGAACTTGACCCCACACAAAATTCCTGTCACATGTCTTGCGTGTAACTTTCGATAGTGGTTGCCGACAGGGTTTGCTTAAATTGGCGCTTGTACGACTTTATTCTCATTTAGCCTTTGATAGTGTGTTTCCTAATTCATTGTCCTACTTGGGGAAATGCTGAATTCAACTCAAAAACGGGCTTTTCTTGACTCAGTGGATGTATTCAAGTCTGTTCGTTGCTCTATGGTTCAAGCAAGCTACTCGTGTTAACACGTGTATATACTCCAGGGCGCTCGAGCGGCTATAGTTCGACCTGCGGGTCATCGAGAGTATACCTCGCTAGAGGGGAGCATACTCTTGCACCCGAGTGTAATGCGCACACATCCTACTCGTGCTGAATCTGTTTCCAAATGTTTATATGTGAGAGATATTTTCCTGCCATGTTTTCACCACTAAGTAAAATCGGCTTGTTTTTCGAAAACCAGTGTCAGTTTATTTAGAGCACCCGCCGGATGCAACACTACTCGACAAAAGAGTGAGCAACTGCTCGCCACTTATGCAAGCCCATTTTACTTAGTGGTGAAAACATGGCAGGAAACTCTCTCTCACATGTAAACATTTGGAAACAGATTCAGAAACGAACACTAATTGGTTGGCATTGGATTAGTACGGACACGTTCTCTAAACCGACTTCTCAAGCTTTTGAAAGGAAAAGCAGACTTTAAGCGAAAGATCATTGCATAACATCTTGGGAAGTCGTGTCAGTCTCCGGTGATGAGGAAGATATTATTACCGTCAGTCGCAACAGGTATCCACACAATTTTCTTGCGAAGCCCGTTAACGATTTCTGTTGTGGTGGTCCTTAATGTTACCGTGGACGAAGGATAGTAAGTCAGTGATGATGTTCCCTCAACATGTAGCAATTAAATTTACCTCCCACGCAGTTATGGTTTGTCGTGAGTTTATTTGTCTCGGTACCGTACCAGTCTGTTCCTTCTCTAAACACCTGAGTCACATGTCAGTGTCGCCCACCACGGCTAGACCCAACTCCTTCCTCGTTTCCTGTTTAATGATTTGTAAAAAAACATTTCCAGTTAAATGTTCTGAATAAAAAATACACGGACTGTTGGAAAAGAAAACAAGGGGCTGTAAGTTCGAAATTCATGAAGCCTTTATTATTTTTTTATATGTTCTGGTTTGGAGTGGGTGAACCCCTCCCCCCCCACACACGTTTTACAACTCACACCCATAGAGCTGGATTCAGCTCTATCCAACTTTGTGTTCACACCAACAGTTACTCATTTGTATAGAAATATACGATTTTTTTTCGTACGAGGAATCTATTTATTTATTTTTATTTATTAACCGTTTCCAACAGCAAGAAAATTGTCACTTACAGTGGGCAGAAATTTAGTCGACGGTTACCTTGACTATTCTGATTTTGCTACTAATGACCATAATCCCAAATTGCCTCCAGACCTGTTTTTAAAATGGGGAACCTTGTGTGGACGTGAATTAGTCCATACAACTTGGTGGACCTGTTTTCTTCTTCTCCACAAAAGGATGGCAAGTTTGTTAGATTTTTTTTACTACTTTCTGACCAAGCGCATATTCTGAAGAGCTCTCCAAGTACAGTTACGATATACATGTAGGCCAATATAAGAAAAAAGTTAACCAACAATTAGCGGATATACGTGTAGGCCATTAGAGACAGTGTCACCAGCTGACTGGCACGAAGTAGTTTAGGTGACACCAGCTGAAGGCCTTTTTTGGGGGGGGGGAGCTAGGGCTTTTTTCATCATCTCTCCATAAAAAAGTGCCAGCAACCTCGCTTAACAGACCCCGACCTTAAGCCGCTTGGCACTGACAGGTACTGGTGTACAGTAATAAAAAAAAAAGAAAAAAGAAAAAAAGAGCATCTGTATTAATGCGAGGTTTTCTCATTTATTATGAGCAAAGATCGGATGTATTTGATAATTCCAATGGAAAACATTGCCGCCTTTTCCCAACCATTCAAACTGAACTCCATTTATTACGCGTGCTGCATATTCACCATTGATGCTCCCAGCAGTTCAAACTGATCGTTTGGAAATTTATTTGTTTTGAAAATATTGCTTTGTTTGGTTTTGTTGTTGTTTTGAATGTTGTACACGGAATCATGGAGATAACTGAATTGTAAATCTGATGTGTACATAACATATTGATACATCACAGGGTTGGATATAATAATATACAACCGTATCATTGTAAGAAAGGTCCTTATGGTACTAGCGCACAAATTCTGCATAGATCTGTAAACTTTTTCGACCGCTCCACCATCAAGGACATCTAAATATTAATACATTTCCCTAAAATGGCTATAGTATAGTTCTGTCGTTCAAATGACAGTGAAGAAATCTAGAAAACATTGGCCATCAAAAACATAAAAGAAATAGCTCTTCAGTTACTGAATAATTGCTCATATTGTGAGAAGAACTTCAATGAAAAATGATAGATAAGTGGATATACATCTTTTGGCGGAGTGTTACACAAGCAATACGAAGGAAATCGTCCAATCTGCAGATTCATAAAGCCTAGCGCGCGAAGGACGTACATGTACATGTACATCACGAGCAGTTGGCACTGGCCCGCTGACGCACAAGTTACCGGGCACACTTGTACTACACGTGCATGCTCGAGTGCACAAACGCATCCACTGATCGAGCACGTGTCAGGCTTTTCCAGGTCCACCCACCGTGCAGCAATCCAGGTGTCTGGATTTGGGCACAGAATATCATCTTATCTCGGAAGTTTTTCGCACACCATTGCTCATATCCTCATTGTAACAGACTTGCAGTTTAGATTCTGGAATCCATTCAGGTGGAGAACAAGGCGGTGAGTTTTTCGACGATCCAATCTTGAAGCCGTGATTTCCAGGCGGTACGGTGGTCTGTGAGTGGTTCTTGTGCCACTGCTCGAGAAAGGATGAAGCTGATCATTTTCGTCGCGGCTTCTCTTGCTCTTCACGGACTTGTTCAGTGCTTACCCCAGTTTAATGCAGAGGATTCTGAGGATGAGTAAGTAAACGACCTATTTCCAGTTGTTTTTACTAAAATTGTATTATATTATCTGTAATCATGATAATGATATAAAGATGAACAGAGAAATTGACTGGAGCGGGATTTGACGAACATGCGACCTTGTCAATTTCTTTGTTCGTCTTTATAACCATTTGTGGGCACTTGTAGTCAGTTTCCCTATGCAGTATAGTTTGCTTCATGATTTGTGTTAAAAAAGCTGCATTCTCCCCGAGTGATCCCTGTTCACCACTTCCTGTGTTATAACATAAAGATAATCGTGTACTTTAGGCATAGGCCTAATGACTGGTTATAGCAGTAGCCTACATGGTGTTTCAGGTTACTTGGCTTCTGACTGGTGCAGTGGCGTAGCTGCGGGCGGCCTGGAGGGGAACATGCCCTCCCATTCAGGGTGCCCCCCTGCAAAAACGGATGAATGGATATTGAACAAGGCTAACAAAACTTTCCCCAAAACTACACACCATTGAAAGCTGGTGTCCCCCATAAGATGCTGGTGATCCCCTTGTTACCCCCACTGCTAATAAAATCCTAGTTATGCCACTGGACTAGTGCCCCCAAACAAAGGGGGATTGTAAAATTGGGGACCTTGTTCTTAGAATGGAAGAGAACTTTTGAATTCACCTTAGTAGATTACTGTGACATCATGCTCAATAACTGTTGGGTTGAGGTTGTCAAAAAAAGGGCAGGGTTTTGAGTTTTGAAGGAATTACGAGGGGAACTGTGACTTAACACGTGACACATGGTGTATTCAAATTTGCATGGCTAGTTAATCAGTAAGAAAGTCACATTTTCTCACAATTTACAATTTAAAATTTCAAAAAATAGGGTCAGTGCAATAAAGAGTGTTGCCTTTGTTCTGTGGGGGACTTACTCATTTTTCAAGATTAAAATGAGAAAAAACTGGGGGGTCCCAAAGTACACAATCCCCAAACAAAGATATTGACAAATATGGGAAAGCTGCACCAACGTAGAGCTGGATAGCTCACTTGGTAAGCAACAGCAGCGGAAAAGTTTTAAAAGTAAGTGGGGGGGAGGAGGGAAGCCCCAACCATGAGACTAAAAAGATTACAATTCTGAAGTTGCAATGTACCTCATCTGGTAGGCCTGTAAATTGGGGGGGAAGGCAAAATAATAACATTTTCATAGGTGGCGGGGGGCAATGCCCCTCCCTGGTCCCCCCGCCAGTGTCACAGGTTCAAATCCCACTCTAGTCAATTTCTTTGTTTATCTTTACAATCAACTAGAGGTCATTAACATTAATCATACAATTCTGCCCTATTTATTTCAGCATAGAGCTGGGACCCCAGGCATGTTTGAGCTATCAAGCTATATCCATGTAGCAAGTGTTGGCATAGTTGTGGAAACTTATGTCAGTTGTGTAGAAACAGTCGCAACAATTTTGAGATGGGGTTGGATATGTTGGAAAATATAATGAGGTGTAACATTATGAGATTAATTAACCACGGTAAACGCTCTAGGCTTTGTCTGAGGAGTTAGTGGAAAGAATTTGTGGAGGCTATATTTAATCAATCATAGTTTTATTTTATATGAGGTGAAGTAGCACGATATTGATTATTTTGGCAAGGGGAATCTCTTAATATAATATGTGTTATGTGTGACCATTCCTACCTCCAATGGTCTGACTAGGTTCTGTTTGACCATGGTGGTGGTCCCCGTCCAGGGAGGAAGGGAAGCATTGGCATGCTTGGAATGCTGCTTTTGATTATGATTGTTTGGTAGTCCCAATAAAGACCTTGCAATTTTAGGTTGTATAACCACCATGATGGAGGTTGGATGATGGAACTGAGTAATATAGTAATAATAGACACTTGCATGGTGGACATGCATGGTGAACCAAGTATGGACGGTTTGCAGTACACCATGGAAGTTAACCTGCTCTTGTTTGTGTGGGGTTATGAGAAGAACCAGTTACTTCAATTAGGTGAAGATCTTTAAATTTTTTTAAATGGTTAGATTACAAGTTCATCGTTAAAAGAGGATAAAATTGTTGGCTTATCCCATCTTGACCTGTTACGAGGTTGAATACAGACATGACAGAAGTTAAGATTGTGAAATACATACTGTTCATTCCATGCTGGTCAAAACTTGGTTCGGCTCAAAATCAGTAAGATCTTATGACAGGGGCAATTCCCCACACCTGTAGTGGTTGTTTGTTTATCCTGCCCCTACTTCAGTCATTAATCTTTATAAAAAGGGACTCCAGGGCAGGGCAAGGTAGATAAACAGTTTCATGAGTTTACGTGTATGCAGCATTAGGTGATGTAACTTTGCATTTTCTATTTTTTGTTGACACTCGACCGATTCAGCTGATCCAAGAGAACTTGGTAATTTCAGAAGGAATTGTTTATTGGACATGATCCGACCATCACTGCCATAAACACAATCAACTTCACCCTACTAAAGCGCACTTGCCCCTTTCTTGCTGAAATCTCCTGAAATTAGTAGGTGCTCTTTTTAAAGCCCTAAATGCTGATAGTCTGATACAAAATTCTTTCTGTGTAATTCGTCCTCTTACATACAGGGATGACTCAGATATATGCTGCCCAGGATTCTGTCAGGGCCCCTTGATCCCACGTTTTCGCTTTCTTGAGTTTTGAGTCCTGTGTTCCCCCGTGGGGAGGAGGAGGACATAATTCTTAATTATACATTCAGACCATAACATGCTCACCCAAGGTGTTGTTTAGTGACAGCCTAGGTTAACTCTGCCTATGAGCAGAATGGTCAATTCAGGCGATAAAGAGGGCAATCAAGAGGTAGCTCAGGAGCTAGCAAGTTCTGCCTACAATGGTCATTTGAACGCAACTTACCTCCACCTTTGAAATTAGCTCCAGAGCTAACCAGCCCCAATTCAAGTTGTGGGGCAAGCTCCACTGCTTCTTCACTTGAGCTCCACTATTTTTGGGTCATTTGACTCAGTGCAGCTGCTCTTACCAACCTTGACACAACCGGCCAGGTTAACCTTAATTTGGAGATGGTTCATGTAGTCTGTTAGCTTCACAGTACTCTAGCTTCAGAGTTACCGTTGCTGTATGAATTAGAGCATTTTTCGGACTACAACCATGTAACCTTACAGAATTCATCAACCTGACTCTACAAGGGCATTTAGTAGTAGGAGTCTTCCTCATCCTTCCAAATTTATCCAAACACCGTTAAGTAAACATCGTAAACTGTGCACATAAACAGTCCGACTCTGTTTATTTGTGGCATGCCTCATCCCACATAAAACCAATGGTTTTACTGGTGCAGAACATGTTCCAACAGATTCCAACAAACCCTGGTGGAGTTTGGCTGGTTGAAGATCGTTTGGGTTTATGGAGTGGAGCTAGCTGAAAACTCCGCCCCTCCAACATAACCAGAGGATCCCAAGTATGGTTGAACAAAATAAAAAAGTATGTGCATATTTATGGGAAAGTCGAAGTCCTCACAGATGTGTGTAAAGATATACAGTGTTAGTCTGTCACATAATGTAAAATACTTCATATTAAACATATGGTAGACTGCAACATTTTGCCGTTGACCTTGTACGTATTACAAGATGCCTAGTTTTGAGGAAGTAGGCATACCTTTCCGACATGTATACATGCATATGGTGGCCTGAAAATGAAACTCATAATCCATCACTTTTTCCCATTTTCTGCAGTCCACCACGCTGAAAATTAAATTAAAGTGTAACTTCTAAAAAAGTTTTCTTAGTTTTCCAAAATAGAATTTCAAGTTTACACAAGGCTTCTGGGTAAAAACTCAAAAGTATGTGTACACATTTGGTAGGTCCACCATCGGGAGTGGGGGATGGTTACACAAAAGTGTGTAAGGTCCACAAAACAATTGAGTTGCTTAATGTACCTGGGTAGTTCCAAGCATACCTTTTCCCTCCCCAAGAAATTCTGCATACACTGCCTGTCTGTGAATACAGTGTTCATTCTACATTCTGAATCAAGAGCAAATCGTTACTCCTTCATCAGAATATGCTGCTCATTGGATAGAATTTCCTGCTGTCCCCAGGGAGGTTATAAACATACTGCTCTTGCATAACCATTAACCTACAAGTACTTTCTGGCAATGCTGGTAAAGACAACCTTCACTGTGCTGCAACATACAACCATGGAGGTAGAAATTCCTGCTGTGTTTAGTCTAGGCTCAGTGGTCTTGGGTTTCATCAAAATCTTCCCTTTATGTAACTCTCTTCAGACACAGGTTCTGTCCCGTCTCAAATTTCGCACTTCTTGGATAGGCACATTTTCATACTTGAAATCAGACAGGGTGGCCCTGGAAAGTGAAAAAAAAATGCAAGTGGGCTTTGTAAAATTATCACTTCCCCAGTCTCCACAGGATTTTGTCTCCTTGCTCTGTGGATAGATGATGGTTACCAGTCAAACTGCAAGTGATAGGAGGGAAGGGAAAATTGTGTAGGTACGTTTGTAGTTAACACACCTAGAAGAGGACACTCGACAGCTATAAACATGGAGTTGCTATGGAGTGGAAAATGAAAAAAGTATTTTCAGAGTATACAGTTATTGACAGTTAGGCCTATGTTGGAATTGAAGTGGGAAATTGAATAGGTTGTCCGTCATTCTACCGGCCACAGCATGACACACTACATGAAAAGCTTACTGACTAAAACTGATGTGTATCATCATGAAGTTTTTAAGCCTTATGCAACAGATGTGACCTTCTGACCACCACACACTTGCATTCTAAGGATGTGGGAGTGGCTTTCATTGTTCATGAAGAAGTTGTGCTGCTATGGGGAGCTTTGAAGATAAGGAAAAAATTATTTTTACTTACACAAATTGGCTTTACAGAAAAGTGACCTTGTACATGTATTTGAGTGGGGATTACAACAGGAAATGGTTTGTTGTGGTTGCCAATTATGGAACTTGCCGAGAATCATGCAGCTGGGGTGGAATTGTAGGTAGCCGCAAGGTTTTTTACACGTTTTTACCTGTAGGTAGGCCTCATTCAATCCTGCCTAAACATATAACTGATATCTGAGATTCTGTGCAGGGCAATTGAAAGGAGTTCAGTTTGCCTGACTGTGGGTTGGTTAATTGCCACGCCCAAAGTGACTTTGCCTCCCCAAGGCATTTCAGTTGCCCTTTGGAGTTGTCCTTGTGACAGCCTAGCAGAAACCAATTTCACGGGCTGTTGACCTCTGGGCTCCTTGTTTGGAGTATAGGCTCATGCAGTTCCTGAAATGTCCAAAACAGGAAGGCCTCACACTGCACTGCTACCTGGTACCACACTCCCAGGAGAAACAGCTTCTTGCATCATCATGCATTAGTCCAGGCAGGAATACTCTCTGCAATTCAAATTAGCTACATGTAGCAAACTGATCTACCTTTAACTTCACGTTGCATTGGCCAGAGGAAAAAAGGCCAAAAAGGGTTGGCTCTCAACTCTCAAAGAGTATTTGCCTGCCCCCACATTGTAAAGGTTGGACAGGGTGCATGCTTGTAAGTTGCCTTTCTGTGAAGTTTCAAAAAATTAACTGGGCCCCTCAGAATTGCTCCTTGTTGCAGTAGAATAGGCATTCACTTCTCAGAACTGTGTTTGGGAGTCATCATCTTTGGACACTCCTCCCCAAATATTCACCCATTAAAAATTGAACAGAAAATGACAGGTAAGAAAACGTGCTATAGATTTAGTTGGGAGGGCTTTATTTTCCCCAGTTTATCATCATGAAAGTACAGGTAAAGTTGTTCTGAGAAAATATTGACATTTGCAACCTGTACCCTCAGCATGGGTCAAAAATCCTTCTGTTATCAGGCAGTTTATCATAGTTGCATTTACTATAATTCCAATAAGAAAGTGTAGCCTTCCACAGTCGATAAATAATGGTTATAAAATGGGTTTATGTGCACTGGTACTTTGAAAACAATACTGGTACATGTGCATGTATACTGAAGCAGGTCACTTTATTGTGCCGTTTTGAGAATGAAGAATGGTGCGAGCCTTGTGAGATCAGGCTCTAAATTGAGTCTTTCATTCAAGAGATCTCTGAAATGTAATGAAAAGGACAACAGGGAATATTATAAATTATACATTCATATATGGTAATCCAGAGAAAAAACTCGCATTAAGTCTCATCAGTAGGATAAATGATGGATGGTGCCTATTTTCTGAGTCTGCATGCTTGTGCAGTTTTAAAGACGGGTTGGTTGGTTCAAAGAAGACACAAAGAAGGAAAAGGTGGGCAGATGTTTATGGGAAAGGAAGATTCAGTAAGATAAAACAGAAAATTTCACTGAAGTTGGATCACAGCCATAAAACAGGCAATCCCACTCTCATGTCTTCGCTGTCCAGGCTCACACCATACCCCTTTGGCTACTTGGTGATCTCACCCAAGGTTCTCTTCGCGGGCCAGGAAGAGTCCATTTGTATCACCATCCAGGATGCTGAGGAACCGGTCGAGGTCATGCTGAGTTTCATGGAGAACAACGTCACTGAGATTTCCAGGGCCCCGCCATTTAACGTCGAGTTTGAGACCACCTGTTCCAGAGTAGAGGTGAGTGACTTTTAAGTTGAGGCCCCGGGTCCTGTCATTTTTTTAGTTTGGTCGATCAGAAATTGAATGGGTGAGAGTGAACTTAGAATGAGCAGTAACTGCATGTCTGACTGCATTTCAGTGCATTGCAAAATATTCAAACTGGTACTCTGATTTCCCAAACTATCCCAACTTGTTTTGAACAAGAGAAACTAATTCAAGAACTGTCTTCTGTGCAGAATCAGAAAACATGGAAGCCTGTTTTTTAAGATGATAAAATTCTATTCAGGCAACTGTCTTTCCACTGCCTTTACTTCTAGAACAATTTGTACAGGATTCTGTCCCAATTTTTTTTGTAACCGGCATACCGTGTTGCCAATTGACGTAGTTCTTTAAATTTGAAGCTTTTACGTTGTGAATAAAGTACACGCATGCCTTGAAGGGAAAATGTGGCCTTGTGGTTCCGGTTTGTTGATTCAGATCATATTGTCAAGGTTTGAATTCTAGTAGGTGGTTACGTGCTGTCATCTTGAGCATGTCATTTTACCACAGTGTGCCATTTACCATCCAGGGGTAATCAGGTTCCTGTGAGGGCAGATTGTGTTTAGCCCTTAGTACCTGAAATGGCAGCATTGGGCTTGTGTACTTCTCAGGGAGCTAATGTGACCAATTGAGTGGGAGAATGGACAAAAACTCATTTGGACTGTTTTTGCCGATTGCTCTCAAGATTTTTTTTTAACTGGGGCTCAGAACAGAAAATATCAAAAATTTTCTCACCAGAATCTAGTCCTGCATGACGTAATTGCCGTCTGCCACAGCCACATGAGGACTAAAATGATGCAGCAATAGCTTTTCCATTCAGAAATACAACCAAGGAGGAAAGCAGTGTGGCTATAAACTAAGGGAACACAAAAAAAGAAGAGAGAACAGCACTCTATGTGACTCCTGTCACAACGCCATGTGCAGGAATGGCCATCATGAATTTGGCGCTGCACCACGCCCTGACCTGTGCATGCTTGGCTAGGCACCGACATTACAGGCTGTGTAAGGAAGAAATTCCTATTATACGTGAGGAAGTACGTAATCAAATGAATTCGCAGTGCACAGAATTTGGTTGGTTACACTGAGATGGTCTTGAGAATGTTCAGAAGTTGTGAACCAGTGAACAGTATCAGTGCCTTTGAATGACAGATACTGTTAAGTGCTGTGTGCCTCAAAAGAGCTGTGCAGAGGCAGATCGTCCCCCCCCGTTCAGCCGCGGACTAAATGGAACTACCACTGAAATGATGCAGAATGAGTAGGCTTACCCAAAAAAACAACACCTGGACGAGGATTGGGCTGTCCATCTATCCATCTATAGTTAAACAATTACATCGATTTCCAGTGGTTCCCCTTAGCAAGGCATCCCTTTAGTATGCCCATCAATCCTTCCCCCCCCTTCTTGAAAGCTAGATCCGTCCCTGCTGTGATATTAAATGATGTGATATTGTCAGTGATTTGATTAACTAGAAGAAGAGTTCACTTTCGAGAAACGACCAGAAATATGCATTCTTCTGACAGGTGTCAGAGCACACTGACCAAGAGGTTGAAATGACACTTTCCTAGCAGTACCACTTTGTATCACGTATGTCCACAAGCATTTCTTACCTTGGCACACTTCTCCTGCCGTCCAGAACCCTACAGAAAATGTGCACTCTGTGCTCGCCTAAACCTTGCTGATATACTTGTGTTCAGGTTCCAACCCTGGATGAGTCCCCCAAGAGGGTCACCTTGAAGGTTCAGATGAAGAGGCTCTCTGCTTCTGAAGCAGAACTCGCTGCAGAGAAGAAGGTGGCCATTGTCAAGAAGGAGTCGGAGACCTATGTGCAGACAGATAAGCCAATCTATAAGCCGGGGCAACCTGGTATGGAACTGTCTAATTTGATTTTATCTTGTGACACTTTGGATATTCAATTAAGATGGGTCAAATGAGCTTCGTGGCAATAGTGGTTTGTCTGTGCAATCTTTCATTCATCCTAACATTGCTAAAATAAGTTGTTGTTTTCTTGGTTGCCTATAGCGACCAATTAAAATCTGGTATTTGTGACCCACCATTCCAAATCTAGGCTGAAGTAGGTAACTATGATTGGCAATTTCTCTCCCCATTTGTAGTGAACCTTCGTCGGAATTCTGTCTGCAGATAGCTTTCATTACGGGCCATGACGTTCATGAACTATCCTTAATATGAGTAGTGGATGTTCCACCACTTCATATAAAGTTACCTACTTAAGTCTGGTTTTGAAATGTGGGGTCACCTTGAATTTAATGTAAACAAGTGGTGTCTAATTCTTGGCAAGCAATTGCAGAGTGACTAATTTATAGTTGGAATTAAGGTTTCTTTAGAATACTCATGAATACTCTGTTAAGAACTTCAAGCACCCCTGCATAAATATTTATGACTTCTGAATAGCTGTGACCCATCACATTGTACTCAGTAACTGTGAGACTCTCCCTCAACCAGTTTTTACTTCAAATAGAACCAATTGTCAGTGTGCATTATTCTTGAAGATGTACATTTCAACAGGATATTCCTTTTTCCTTTGTTTTGTTTTGCAACAAAGCCATTTGTTCAGGAGAACCTCTTTCTTTAATTTTTTTTTCAGTCATGTTTCGGGTTCTTACATTGGACAGTGACCTGAAACCTGATAAAACAGCGGTAAGTTTTTGTCAGTAGTAAGTTTAAAAAAAAAGGTTGGCCTTTCAATTTCCAAAAATGCTAGAAATACACTGATATCATAAGTAAAGCTGTGTTTCATTGAAGGTAATTTGGGGGAAGAAGTATAATTTTTTCCTTCAGACTCTCTGTCCATTGTTCAACTACATGTATTTTTGCTTGTTTTCCTCGCCTACTTGCTACTACCTACACAGTTGGATCATGGATGTCTTTGTTAGTTCTCATTTTGTGGAAGGCATCTGTCATCTTAGGCCGTGTCCGAAATGGGCTTCCAGAGCTGTGGCTAGGTCTATTTCCAATGGAGTGAAGACGTAGACCTAGCTCTAGACAAGAGATTCGGATGCAGCCATAGATACTGTCATAAATGGGGAGGCTCATTCTTCTTGTTGGTACACACAAGCGCTTAACAAAATAGCCTTGTTTTTCGTGCACTGTTTTCCCATAAGACCTCTGACATTTGGGTTGAGACACCGTCAGGCATTCGCGTAGTGCAGTGGCTGAACCAATCCAGCCCGGACGGCTTGATTGATCTGGAAATTCCCATGAGCTCGGACCCACCACTCGGAGAATGGAAAATTGTCAACATCCGGGGTGGTGAACGGATCGAGAGGATGTTCAAAGTGGACGAGTATGGTGAGGATGATCAGTTTGAGCCCTGCAGAAATTTGTGTTCAAAATACCAATCAAACACTATCTCCTTTTGTTTTTACTTCAACGTGAACAAAATCACGTTGGCCTCTCTTACCACCTCATAGATGTATGTTTGACCGGCAGTAAGTAGTTGGCTCAGCATGGCTGGCCATAATCTCAAAGTATAACCAAAATCTCAGGCAGCTACCAAGACACAAATCAGTGTATTCTACCGAATGCCCAATGACATCGCCTCCCTTTTTAGTCCTCGTTTGTAGTTTTAGGGAAAAGCTGTTGCCATCCAAGGGGATTTTCTTCAATTTTAAGCCTCCCATAGAAAGTGATGGGCAGTGTTTGTGGACAAGAGATTCATCGAACTCTATGAGGTTCATTGAGCTCTCCGACCAGTAGTTATCAATAGGGCTTATGCAGCTCTAATAACTAAATACATGTAATCAAATTGACCTTCCGTGAGGCTTTCCCGCCAGAGCTGAAACAAACTGTACTCATCACAGAAAGTAGACAAAGAAAAACTCATTAACAGTCCCAAATCCTCCAATTTCAATATGATTTTACGTATACCCTTGGGGGTTAGGGTTAAGGAAAAGTAATTTTGGGTCCTGTTGCTGGGTATGCATGTATGCATTCAACTGCCAACTGCTGTTAAGATCACTCATAACACCTTAAAATATGCTTTTGAAATGTTATTTTGTCTCAGTGAAATTGTCATCTTTTTATGTTACTTATTTCCACCTCCAAACATTTGATTTCTAAAATAAATTTTGAGAGATTTGATAATTGAGTTTTCTGAAAAAATTACTTAGAACAGTCCTAGCTGTCAAAGTTTTCAGTAGGCAATTTTTTAAAATGGGCATTGGAATAACTTCATGCATTCGTGGTACAGTTGTGAAACTGGAAATCCTCTTGTGCAAGGTGGTCAATATGATGTCATACTGAAAGGTTATAGGAAGCTCTCCCTTGTAAAATACAGCCTTAAAGGAAGGAAGTGGGAGACCTTATTAGAGTGGCTTTGAAAAGGTGGTGTTACCACGGTCCCTATCACATTATTGGTTTTGCTTCCTGGGGCCACATCTGGAAAAATGTTTTGACTCTTAGCCCACGAAAAAGACTGGACATCCAGCGGGTTGAGCTAGACTTGGTCTCAAGGGTGCAGGGTTGATACTGAGACAAGAAGAGGGTTAGTTTAGCCAAGCTGGCTACATACCCTCTGGCCCACAGTTTGGCATCCCAGCCTGAATCTCCATTGAGTTGAGTAGGTTTGGGGAAAAAAAGAAAATTACACTGGCCTTGATTTTGTGCAGGAATACCTTTTTAGGCACCTGATCATTAGATGGCAAGGACAGTATGATTGTAAATTATGTAAGAGTACCAGTTGGTTTAAACTGAAGGACACCAGTTCTTTCTACACAGATGGAAAGCAGATTTTTCTGCTTTATGTGCACATCAAGCTTAGATTTCTAATTCCTTATGATTTGTTTCGTACAGTTTAAGAACAGCTGAACAGTTTCTGTAACAGTTAAATTTCCAAAAAAGGGGGAAAATCACCCTCTCACATTCTGCAATTTGTTCAAAACTGTTACGAGAACCTTTGTTCAAAGTTAAAAATTTTTTGTTGGGGGGGGAGGAATTGCATTTTCAAAATACTTGTGCATAAATTTCCAGCTTGCATACAAGTATACCTGAAAACTGCAAAAACGTTAGTGGCATGTTAAATGAAAAATAGTTCTCAAGAATGTATTCACTCAATGGAAATTGTGGGTAAGATAGGTGAATAGGTCTCCCCCCCCAAATCTGCTTTTGCAAGTCAGGGTTTTATATGCTTGTATGTTGAATGAATGCCAGAAAGTTGCACAGACCTAAGGGAACTTCATGTACATGTAATTTGAGATGAGCAAAGCAGTTTCTGTACAGAGTATGATTGATGACTTTGGTTGTATTTCTTTCATTTGATGGTCGCTTGCAGTGCTCCCCAAGTTTGAGATAACGGCTGACCTGCCACCCTACATCCTGACCGATGCTGAAGAATTTGAGGTTCGCATTTGTGCAAGGTAATGGCTGTTTGTCTCTCTGCCATTCCTGCACGCAGTTAAATGTACCGTGAGAAATGTCTTGTGGGAGTCGGGTAGTTTTAAAATCGAACAAGCAGTGTAAAAGTAACCTCCGTGGTCCACCTATATATTTACATACTCCCCGTTGCTGGAAGTGGCTCCTCCGAAGCCAGTGCGTCTGGAAACATAATTTCAGCGGAAATGTGAGAGGAAAATGTTGCAGTAGTCACTTGTGTCAGTTATTGCAGAAGCGTGACCTATTTTCAGTGTTAGAAAGCAATTATAACAAATTGTGATGGAATAGTTTGTGAGTGACTGAAGTGAGTATGAGTTCTGTTCTGAAGTTTGTTGTCGGGAGAAGGTATATTAAGTGTATTGCATTCAAGTCCTGCATTGTCTGTTATTCATCAATCCTCCGTGGACATTGCAAGGGGGAAGGTATGCCCCTCTGAAAAAAAAGAAGAAGATAAATAAGAAAGGAAATAAAACAAAAAGGGTGAGCAAGAGAAATGGAAAAAGGGAGGACAGGGAATGAATATGACCAGTTGGCTCTGAAAATAAATCAAACTCTGAATCGGACTGACCCTGACAATCAGTGGGTTATCAGTTTGCTGCTGGTGAGTGCTTTGCCCCTTCCCCCCCTAATAAAATCCTGGTAACACTCATGGCAGTACTCCAGCATCTGCTTCTTGTATTCCTGTGAATAATTAGGGCCAGGAAATGTATTAGACAACCTCGAAAATGTAATTTAATTTGCAAAATAGGCTAACCTCTATGAAGGTATGGTTCACTTCCTTGTAAATAGTTCACATTCATCAGGTTTGTCTGAGAAGGTTTTGTGAGAAGGTAAAAGGTGATGGCTCTTGTGAACTCCAGTGCAAACAAAACCAGATGCTTATTATTAGTGAAAACAGATGTTTCCACTGTTAGAGAAATTTCTCTACCAAACATTGATCACCAACTTATTTCACCTTTTTTTATATGAATAGTGATACACCCCTATTACATATAAATTTCACCACAGGCATGCACTTGGGCAGCTGTCTTGTGGAGCTGTCCCCTGCGCGCATTGCTCATGACCAGGTTTGTCCCATCTTTGAACTTGTTCGTAGGTACACTTATGGGCAGCCGGTGAGGGGCTCGTACAGTGCCGACATCACCACTGAAGAAGAATACAGTTGGTGGTACAGTTCTTCTGAGCGGAGACCAGTCCTCAGATTTGAGTCGGCCGTAAGTGGGCAGTGCCTCCCATCCCTTTCTCTTTGGACAGCACCAAGGTCAACCTCGTTACGGTCGGAGTGGAAATAAATTGTAAAAAATTAACTTTGATTTTATAAGGACCATTATTAATGAAGGGCATTATTCAATATCTGCCTTCCATTCGGGTGTGTCAATCTCCTCTGTTGCAAAGATATTGCGCATTAGTGCGCACGGTCAGTTGAAATTGAATTGAGCACATTGTGTTCAAAACTACATGACACTTAAGGGGACTTGTAGTGCACGAGGATGTGATGGTCAAGATCCAGGTGTGCGTCTTCTGTATACTTGCCTGTTTTATTCTGCCCTTTTTTTTTTTCAATTTTATTTAATTTTCATTTTTTCTCTCTAATTTTCAGAGTAATACTGTGATATTTTACATTTTATGAGTTGTGAAAAAGCCAATTTATTCATCCCTTTTTTTACTGATTGGTGTGCAGCCATACGTTAGCTGGTTAAAAAATAGCAGCAAGAGAGACCAGGTGGCACGTTTCAAAATAAATGGCATTTTAAACTGTACAAGTTGCATGCATAAATAAGTCTGTTGAACGTTTCCGCACTTAAATCTACTTTCTTTACTACCCAGTTCCTCGCTAAAGTAAGGGTTGCTCTGTCAAAATAGGGCAGTTCCAGAAACAGGAAGTAAAATTATTGTTTTGGGGGGTTGGGGCTTACAGTTTCAATGCTGAATGTGTACCCCACAAGTACTTATCTTGGCAAAACTCTGTCCAAGGTTGCTCTTCTCCAGAGTTTCCCCTTGCCCGTAAATCAACCATCAACGCCAACAGAGTGGCTGTAGCCTCTCTGATGTTTTCCCTACATGCTCACCAGCCTCCAAGGCCACTCACCATGGGAACTTCATTCAGTAAGCCCTCAAACATTAAGTGCTCAGAAGTTAAATGTTCATGGCCATGCAGCCATATTTCAGTGGTGGATCCAGGAATTTTCCTGGGGGGAGGGGCACACCATTTTTTATATTCTTTTTTTGCAGACAGGAGGGCCCATTGGTAATACAGTACTTGACATTTATGCTTTTTTACACGTAGCAAAATGCCATTTTTTTGGTTAACACCGTAATTATTTTATTCTTTACTCCAATCTTTGGTGTGTGTTTGGGGGGGTCCTGCATTAATTCATGCCTGAATGTTTTCTTCTCCATAATTACTGAGGAATTTTTGGCTTCAGTTTTTTTTTCTTGAGATCCTGACGTAATTAGTTTGCAAATTCATGGCTCTTTGAGCTCTGATAGACAACAATTTCTGATGTGGATTTTGAAAATAGGGCCATTTCTCAAGATTTCAGAGATAATGTTTGGACGCTGTCTAGAACATGTCTTTTTATTTGGAAAGTCATAAGGGGAAACCGTGGTTTTGATATTTATTCGTTTCCCAGACACCTGTGTCGTCTCCTCAGGGGTGATGGAATTTGAACCAGATTTCGCCCTGAAGAGGCGGTGATTAAAATACCTGTCGTGTGGGAAGGCATGCAGGTTAAAGTTGTACGTGATGTTTCAGTCTAAGAGTGTGCTAGTGAACTGTGCACTACAATTCCCCCCGGAAAAAAAAAAGACTGCTGTGATGATTTTCACGAGTTTAATACATGTAGGTTCGTTCTGCCAAATCACTCCAAGAGTATAAAGTGTCTGATGAAATCTGCAATTTTGGTATAACCATTCTTGAGATTGTTTTGTGAAGATGGTGTTATCCTGTTTAGGACAAAATTAAAATGACTCATTTGAGTTGTTAAAAAACTACCCAACCTGACGGCTTTGCAGAGTTTGAAGTATCAAAGTGTATATTTTTGGTCCCGTTTTGAGCAGGATACTGGCAGTTCTGGATGTGGTACTATCATTGTCCCTGGAGAGTTATTATACCTCAACAGCAGTGAATATAACATCTGGAACAGCAGACTCCAAGTGGATGTCAATTTCACCGAAGATGCAACTGGTAATTTTTTTCTACAATGCTAAGCTCAGTAGAATTGCTATTTTTCCAACAACTTTTAGGTTGCACTGTACTGTGTCATTAGTTAGCTTTGTATCACAGATAGAGTATTTGTAAGCCACCATTTCCTCACTGGGCAAAGCAACATTGAAAGAATTTTTTACATGTGTGCAGTATTTAACTTGCATAAGACAACAGTCTTCATATATGGATGAGTGATCAATGTTGCATGTGATAAAATTCCATGCTAACCTCTTCAAGCACACATCCCTTTGTAAGATATGTTGTCTTTGGGGTTGCGACTGTTATCGGCCATGCCCTCTGTGCAGCATTTGCTCAAGCTAGGTACGAATCCCTGGTCCGAATGAAAGAATACAAAAGTAATGTAGCTTGGGGTTACATGTCTGTATTCCATGGTATCATCGGGTAGTTTTCATCCGAATGGGCACAGTGCTCACTGCAGAACCAGTCCCATTCGTGTGTTGCCAACAGGCAATAATGAATTACCGGATTGCTGAACTTGCTGTGCTGAAAGAATCCTGTTCGGTCCTTCCACATGTGCCTCCCCCTTTTTCAGGCATGTCTGTGTCCCATGCTGAATTTGTTTCTAAACTTAAACTCTTTGGATATGCCAAAAAAAAATTGTAATGAGTACATCTGGGAAGTTTCAAATCAATCCGACATAGGTTTTGTTGTTACGGTCATTTATTCGTAGTCATGTATGTGTCAGCCTAGAGTTGATGCCAAAGTGAGCATGACACTTCACTTGAATGTTCCCGGTGATGCTTTTCAGGTGTCACTCTCTCTGAGACAGTTTTGAGCAAACCCGGTATTGTCACTACAGAGCCATTGGCCTTGTCTTTCAAGGCACCGTCTACATTCAAGCCAGGCATGCCCTTTGATGTGTGGGTAAGCTGAAGACTCTTTGTCCAAGTTCTCCGGGCAAGCGTGTCTGGTGTTTGATTTCTTCATCTTGCCTTCCCCTTTTATCTTGCCCCCCCCTTTTCTTGTCATGCCATATATGAATATTAACTTGTAATGCTTAGATCAGCCCCTTTTGCTGTATTACCACAGAAATTTTCCTAACCTATATAAGCTGCCTGATGGTCTTCTCCCAAACTTTAAATACTGGCACCCATTCTTTAAAATGTGACCACTACATTTACATCTTGCCCAGTTTCCCCACAGTTTTGAAAAACCTTGTGCGTGTGCAATGTGTAAGGCCCCCGAGATAGTTCTGCTGCCAATTACGTGCCTCTCATGGTTGGTAGGTTGGCAAATGGATTTTTTGGTTGATTTGTGCTGATTGAGTGGCATAAATGGGGATGAAAGCTATCAAAATTGTCACAGAAAGGTCACAAAAACCTTGCCTTAATTCTGTGTAAAAAAGTTTTACAGTCGACAATTCTTAAAGAATTATGGACAGTTCACACCACTGTGGCCAACACTAGTTAGGCAATCACAACGGCAATCTGGCCAACAGTGGCCATGTATCATGTGGTGAGCATGCAAGAGGTATCCAGATGGGTGGGTGATAAACCTCATGCTGCAGCAGGAAATCTTCGTGGAAACACGCTCTCTCTGAGCATGAGCCAAACAACCTCTAAGTAAACTCATGAACACAGGAAATAAATACATAGACAAGAGACCAAGTTCTGTAAATTAACCTGCAGAAATCTTCTTGCAGCGTTGATGTTTTTCCGTTGCGGTGTAGTGTAACAAGGCTATTATGACCGGGATATATAGACTGGTCGTCACATTTCCATCACGCATTCCTTAGCATGCGCATGGTGCGGAGGAAATCAGTGCAGCATTGCTTTAATGCATTGAGCTTTGTGCATGTGTTTTTGCCACTGCGACAGCAAAACACAAATAACGGATGTTTATTTTCCAAGGTTGCAAATTTAAGTAGGAAAACATACAAATACGAGTGTTTCAACATGATAAAAGATTGTTCAGAGGTGTTTTGTGAAGACAGAAAACACAACAGAATTCATTTAAAAATGTTGTTTTTCTCCTGAACTTGCTGGTAAAAACTTCAGGGTTGCCGAAAAACGTAGGGTCAGTGGGGAAACCGGAAGCAGAAGTATTTTTTTTGCCCCCAAACCATATCAACCTACCCCACTTCAGAGGCATATGCAGTATAAAGCAAATTTTTGGCGTCAGTTTTTGAAATTTGTCAAATGTGGGAGAGGTTTGTCAACTTAATTTTGGAAAGAATGGTGTTTTTAAAGAAGTTACTTAGTTGAATAGGTTTTGCTGACTGCATTCTCTGTTGGGCTTTGCTGCATTTGTGAAATTTGAGCTGACATCACAAAGCATCTGCTGATGGTCCAACGACTGGCCCCCCGCACTATGAAAATCATTTCCGCCGCCGGTGAATAAAACCTGTGAAAAATTCTGTAGATTTGAATACACAGGGTATGGAGTAATGTCTTAGCTCGGTACGTGCCTTTACCTCCCCCCCCTTAGATTTCTGTCGAATATCCAGACGGCTCTCCTGCCCCAGGAATCCAGGTCAAGGTAACTGCCAAGGCCGATTACAGGGTGGAGATCTACAACCAGACGCTCACCTCCTCAGACGAAGGCATGGTCCACTTTGTCTTGGAAGATGTCAATATCGAGACAGCTGAAATCAGTCTTTTTGTAAGTTGAAGCACAGCAGTACTCAATCCTCTCGGTTCTGTTTAATTTTATGAGGCCTGTTGATACACGGGACTTAGGTGAGTGCTGCACCTGCTCATGGGGCTGGTGCGGTTAGTCGGCAATCAAAATTCTGAGTGGCATGTAAATACCATGTGACAGGTTCTCAATCCAAGTTTTGTTGAGCTTAATGTGATACTCAAAACTTCCTATTACTAGCTGCAAAGGTTGGAGTTTAAATTAGCCTTATAAGGGTGTTTGCCGAAATTAGGGGTCCATTTTTTTCGTGTCCCTGTCAAGTCTGACATCTGATTTTGTAAGTTCAGAACACATTTTGTAATTTCCAAGAATGATGAATTCATGCAAATTTACCTGCCAAACTAATAGTAATAGTTTGAAATCAATTCCGGTGATATTTCCATGTCAAATAACAAAGGTCGGATGTAAACAGGGACACCAATCGTCACATTTTTGGACCCCTAATTTCAGGAATTACCCATAAGTGTATTTTTAAGTAGTCAGCTATCCTGTTTTTAATTTGTCTTTTGTCAATCCTAGTCCTCATTCCTGAATCTCTGCAACCCTATCCCCAATCCAAATCCTCAGTCTTTATAAATTCAGAATCCCTGATCCTGAATCCCTTATTACCAATCCAAAATTTACAGTCACCAATAGGAATTCTCATTTGCAAATAGAGAATCATTTGTCAAATTCCAACTCGTCAATTCTGAATTCCCAATCCCAGTATCTCAGAATCTCAAATCTCATCATGGATTTAGATTTTGCATGCCTAGCCTTCAACCTCAGAATAGATATTGAAAAAAGGTTCTTGTCGATCTGTATGCCCTGCATAGTATGTTTTGTTAGTGCGAGTTGAGTGTTACTCCATGCAAAGCAGATGGGTTATTATTTGTGTGTCAGACGTTTTCTGTTGTTAACCAGATAATGAAAAGTGGCAAATTAGCTTGAAATACACCTCACAGAAAATACATGCAAACTGTTTTCCTGTGAAAACTCAAAGTCAGGTCTTAACAAACAAAAAGTTCCACAAGCTGTAGTTCAAAGGCTGGTTAAAATGAGATTTCTTCGTTCTTTTTGTTCGTTCGTTTGCATATTGTTCTCAGGCTGTTGCTGAGGGCTACAGAAACTGGGACCCCTCCGGATCCAGCGATGATTACCGATATGGCTACTATTACATCTACGACCCCACCGCCTACCTCTATGCAGAGGCCAGCTACTCCCCCAGCGGTAGCTTTGTCCAGGTTGCCCCTTTGGATGAGCAGCTCATCCCTGGCAACGAAGTGCAAATAACCACTCACTTCACTGCTGACCCGGAAACAGTTGAAGATCTCAAGTGGTTCTTTGTGGTAAAGCTCAACATATATTTTGACTTCGCAATGCTTTTTCCCGGCGTTACTTCATTTTGAATACCAAGAAGCCCTGTACTTGTGACCCATTTTAAGAGGTATCATTTGATTTGATAACTTGTTTCAAATTTATTGGTTTCAGGTTATCGTTTATACGAGGGATAATTTTAAGATTACATTGTGGAAGAAATGCTGTGTTATAGATTGCACAGCAAATGCTCTGTGTGCACGTTGTGAAGTTTTTGTGTGCTTTTATTCGATTTCAGTTTCAAAACTATGTAATCAACAAAAATGACAATGTTTCTTTCAGCCTTTTTAACGTTCGGATCAATTCTCAAATGCGTGTCGGCAGGGATAGCCTAGTTACTGGATTAGCCACAAGCAACTCGGCCTAGGAGGTTTTTCTTTTCGGGAGGCAGAGTGGAAGTAGATGGTCAGATTGAACTGAACACAACATTCAAATGAATGTTACCATTTCACCTCATCAGTTTTTACTGTCACCAGTTGGGTACTTGAAAGTTTGAATTTTTGAAATTTTGACAGTGGAATCCCATGAAATTATTTGACGTTTCTGTGTCTTACCAGTTAACTTAATATTTGCGATGAATGTATGATTAGATGATAATTTTTCTGGACATTCCAGCTTCATTGGTTGGATATCTTCCTTTGCATGGTTTTTCACTTTTTGTCGAGTTATTGTAGTTGGCTCAGTTGTTTGACGGTGAGGTCAAGTCGATTTGGTGTTCATGCCGACTTCACTTCGGGCATGCTTTCGCACTGTGTCATATCACAGAAGCCAGTCATATTGAATGATAAGAATGAACCGGCTGTTCAGCCAAGGATACTTACAATTTCCTCTCCCTCAAGGTGAAAGACATTAACAAGGATTGAAAGAAATCAACCCTAGCACTTAGTCACAGCAAGGAAGAAAGGGCAGATAAGTTTGGGGGACCTTCTTGTTGAGTAATCTTACACTGTAATGCCTGGGCATACAGTGTCACCTGTTGAGGAACTCTCGGAGGAACAAGTCTTGAAGGCAGCCAACAGGAAATGAGGATAAACAGAAATGTAACAGCTAGACAGTCACAGTTAGGGTTACAGTTAAGGATTCCAACAAATTTGAAGCAAACTTCAGTTAAAAAGACTTTTCCTGGATTTGGTTTTGCGGTCTGAAACTGTGATACAACCAAAAATATGAACAATCCCAGGTGGCAGAGAAAGTCATCAAGTTATGGGCTGGTCCACAAACTATCCTATCGTGGATTGTTGCCACACCATAAATGGACCCATCATGTGTATAATTATTTGTATGTCACTTTGTAGTGCACCCAAACTATCGTGTGCTTCACTTCATCTGGCAAAAAACAGAGTATTGTTTAAAAAGACAAAATGAAAATCCCCCCCCCCACTGCCAAAAAAATAAAATTATTAAAACAAAATTGGAAACGAAAGCTCAAAATTAAATGCATCTAAAAGGGTTTGCTTCATATGAAAAGTGAGAAAAGAGAAAAAACAACCTACTATTGCTCACAGAATCTTTACTTTGCTACTTAACTTTCCCAGCCTGAGAAGTTGAGTGGTTCATGTAGACTAAGGTCACTGGAGGTCTTACCTTAGAAAGTATTTTAGTTTTGTGAATAATTTTTTTCTTCTTAGTTTATGTCACGCAATGAAATCCTGACCGTCCCAGTTGCTGCCGTGGAAGAGACTGGGTCACGGAGGAGAAGATTTTCTGAACCGGTACCAGGTAGGTTGGCCAAGCGTAGCTAGGGGAAGCGCAGACGAAAGATTTGAGACTTTTTAAAGTTAAGTTATGGGACAGTTTTGGTTCCATAGGCTCACTTGTACCACATGCTGCCCCTCACTATCCTCTACTCTCTCTTCAGTAAGTATGGATAGTATCTACTTAGTAAAGATCAATTGTGTTTTCCTCAAATTGGACTTTATGGAGTGGAAGCCAGGGTTTCTGCTTTTTGGCACATTGTGTTCTGGTAGTATTTAATTAAAAGAACAGAAAACTTCATAAATCAAAAAGTACCAAATTAGAACTTGCAATTCCCTTTCTCAGTATACGCTAAGCACAATGCATTATGCTGCTCTTGAACCTTGTTTTGGAAAGTGGAGCTTTGAGTGAGTAGTCGAGTTCTGCTGTGTTGGCGGTTTCCAAATTCCCCCCCCCCGAAATTCCTCTCCTAATTCGGCATTTATCAGTTTGGGCACCAGTTTAGCCACTTCATCAAGATAATCTTGTCATACACCACTGTGATTGTTTCCTGATGCGTTTTTAGTTCCTATCCTACTTTTAAATCTCTGATATCTTTCCTTAGATATCTTACCGTTTGAACCCGAGAAGGTCAACATCACCCAGCCCGGTAGCCTTTACTCCCGTCAGGACAGATTCACAGTTACCTCCAAGATGTCTCCGGCTGCGAAGCTGTTGGTTTACTACATTCGTCCAGACAAGGAGGTGGTCGCTGACAGCATCAGTTTGGATGTCCAGCCAGAATTTGGCAACAAGGTGTGCACAAGGCCTGCAACTGTGAATGCAGTCATTCCTTCAATCAGTTAATCATTCCCTTTTGACCGTGGATTGAAGTAATCCAACAATCATTGTTTCTCACTCTAAATTTTCCATGGTGTTTAGTCATTGCTAATAAGTGGATGGTTTGTCTTCAGGTGGTCAAGAGAAAATATTTTTCCTAAAGCCTCATTGCAGTATATGTTGTCCATTTCACCTTCAAACTGAGCAGGCCTGTCTGTGTGTTTGGCCCACACTTGGGAGATTATTGTATTAAAGAAATTTTGGCTTTTGCATGCTTATTTTAAAATGCAGACTTTATTTTTGATAAATGGATGGAGTAACTGAATAACACCTCTGGGTCAGGCATGCCCAATTTGATGGGAAAAAAATGGAGATTGGTGCCCTGAACATATTGGAACATTCACAATATATGAAAGAAAGATTACCTGAAAGACTGATGAGCAAACAGTGTCACACAGGGTGAAAGAGACGGAACAACTCGGCTGTTTGGGACTGAGAAGTTGCTGATGGCTTTTGTATCTAGAGTACTATAGTTAGGGGTGGCTGTAATAATGAACATGGTCTGCTTATGAGAGGTGAGAAACTCAGACAGTTCTGTACAAATTAAGGTTTCAGCGTGATTTATTGCCGGTGTGATTGCTTAGATGTGCGGAAAGATAAACTTTGAATGAGTAAAACAATGATAATTTGCTTGACTGAGAAGCTTAAAATCACTTGCATTGTTCAGTAACTGTCTGAAATTTCTGATTGTCTGTCGAACAAAGTTTTCAGAGGTTTGGGGTTTTTATCCAGCAACTTTTTTGTCCCACCTTTACTTAAAATTCTGTGCCAATGACGACATTTTTTAATCTGGACTTGCTAGACTTCACAAGATAAGCAACTTTCATTCTCTCCATGCTTTCATTAATTTGTATCCTTCTTAAAAAAAAAACTCGATTTTCCAGGTTTACATGGCCTTCACCAATGCCGAGGAGACACCCGGAGGCAAGGCCCAGTTGAAGCTGTCGGCAAGTGAGGGCTCCCTCTGTGCCATTGGTATCGTCGATAAGAGTGTATACGTCTTGGAGGATGACGAGGATAGAATAACAAAAGAAAAGGTAGGAGAAACATTTGTTAAACTCAGTGTTGGAGCTGCTTGTCTGACTTTCATACATTTTGAAATTTTTATGCCCCAAATGTTTTGCCTTGCAAAGGACTAGTTCTTGAATAGGGGCAAGATGTGTGCTGACTGTATTTATTGATGGCAAAACTAAAAATGGTAACTTTGATGTTATATTAGGTAATCCGATTAATTAAATGAACCAGTTAAATCTGAAAGCAGATTCAGGAATTGTGTGCTGGGAGGATGAACTTCCAAAACATTAGTAGTCAACTTTTTTTTGCAAGTAATGATACCCAAGAATTTATGCATCCTCTCAAGTTAAGCATTTTAAATGGGCTGGTAGTAACCAAAGTGGGATGGCTGTTAATCACGTATCTTTAGAGTTGAGGCAGGTTTTGCTCATTGTTTTATATTGCCCTACCGCACGAACATGACCCACTCTGATTGGAAAATCGGTTCTTGGCCCAAGCCCGGCTGAAAAACCCCAGACAAGCTTCACCTTGCAAAGACTGAAACTGTTCATTTCCACGGCCCACCTCAGGTGTTTGAGAAGCTCCGAAGTGACCAAGACCACTACACTAACTACTGGGTTCCCAATCGGAGCGACCACTGCCCTGATGAATATCCCTGGTGGTGGTACCCTGACTTGGACAGAAAACGACGCAGGAGGACCAGCGTACCCTACTATGGTGGCACTTCCGTTTATGAGGACTCCTCAAAGGCATTTGAGGTTGGAATTTTCCTAGCGTCCTTTCTTCATCCATTCTGTGCACAAATGACTCCTCACCAGTTGCAAATAGAAGCAGGGTGGATAGGCATTATGAGGTTGGGGCACTTGTGACGCTACCTTCCCCTCCTCTGGGGGGGGGAATATTGAAAACAGAAGGAAATTAAAAGAAAGGAAAAGCAAAAGAAAAAAGGGGAAAAGGAAGTAAGATGATGAAACTTACCAGTTTGCTTGAAAATACGTTGGAATTGACCCAGTTTTATTGTTAATGGTGTATCAGTTTGCTGTTTACGGGAGGTTTGCCATATGCCAACTTGTTGATTGGGAAGCCGTTCTGTTTGAACCTTGTGGAGATCTGTCTCTTTCGTAAATTTCAGGATATGGGCTTTATCTTCATGTCGAACCTCATGGTAGAAACGCGGCCTTGCAACGCTGGTAAGAGAGTCCAGGATTATACTTGATACGAACATTTTTCATATGAATCTCCCCCCATCCCTTTCTGTTCAGAAGATAATCAAATGAGCCAGTGTTTAGTCACAGGATTCCATCTTGAAAAGGATTGAAGCAGATGCCGACTAAGAAGAAGTAAACAGTGGCGAAAATTATCTTACATCATGAGGAGGATGAGCTTGCGCCATGTTTTTGCTCCGTCCTGTCAAGCCATCTTTATCAAACTGCCATGTGGTCCCCGTTTTCCAAGGATCTGTTTGTTTTGCACAGATCTAGATCTTGAAAAGTGATCCTAACGCTGGTTAGCACCATCCACTTTGCAGGTTGTGGGGTCCGTAAACCAACGACGGATCACTGATTGTGATCCAGATCCATGTGAAACAAACACATCCCAAGTACCCCCGCACTGGTAACCATGTGTAAGATTGCTGTGATTGTCAGGCAAATTGACTTGAGTTTGTGTGTTTATCTGACCTTGCTGCCTCTCACAGATGTTCTCTTAAATGTTTTGATGGTATTGATGAGTAGATAGATACCCGGTCATTGCGTACAACCGTGAAGTGGCAGGGCAAGAGGGGCCTGTGGGAGGAGCTCCCTTGACTGCTGCTGCTCCAGCTGTCCGAAGCTTCTTTCCCGAAACCTGGCTGTGGAAATTGGAACGGATTGGGTAAGGACTTGAAAATAGAAGACATTGCTTCCAGCGCATGAAAGTGCTTGTTCATTTTGTTTGTCCTGTCGGTCAAGTCAGCAAGTCAGTCAGCAGGTCAGTTTTGACAGTTGGCTCTGTTTGCCATCCGGTGTGCTGGTCAGGCCAATCCCGTCCAGTTGGCCGGTCCTTTTGGTTGATCTGTTCATTCAGTCTGTGTGTTGTCTGTGCATGCAGTTTTTTGTTCATTGGTGTGTTCATTACGTCATCCAACACTGCATTTTAAAGTGCTGACAAAGAAGGCTTTAACAAATGTTGAGGGGAGGAAATCGTGAGAATGAATTGTCATGAATAAAACCTTCAGATTTTGGTAGGGGCTTAAAAAAAAGTCCATACGCCAACCTCCAGCTTTTTTAGTACTTGTCTGGGACAATTCAAAAGAAAACCTGTACTGTTGGAAGTTGTTCTCTTTTGAATGTTAATAATGTATTTTCTGTGCATGGCAAGTGTTTCAAGCTTTAAAATCCCTGACCCTTGATCTTCCCCATAGGGATTTGGGTGAGGCTGAGCTGGACCTAGATGTTCCGCACACCATCACTGAATGGGTCGGCAATGGGTTTTGCACCTCAGCCGAGACCGGTCTGGGTGTGGCAGACACCACCACCCTGCGCGCCTTCCAGCCATTCTTTGTGTCACTGACCCTGCCATATTCCATCATCCGCGGGGAGGAGGTGACCATCAAGGCCACGGTCTTCAACTACTTGTCCGATCAGTGCATGGTGGTAAGGCTCATGCAGTAAATTTGTTCGGCTTTCACTATCAAGGGAGATTTTCTGAAACATATTAGGTTTCACATCTGGGCTGTCTTAGAACATTGAAATCAATAACTGAGGGTCATTGTAGTTCCCTAACAGGTGGACAAGTCAAACTGACTGTCCGAGACCTGCTTGCCAAAATTGCTTGCTTAGCTTGTTTGTTTCAAATATGGTGCTTTTTATGATATGCAGCAGTGATCCAGTGCCATGGTTTCACCCTAAGGCATTCCTAAGTTTTGATGAGCAGGTGCTGTTTGAATCAATCAGTTAACTATAATCAGGGGCGTAACTGGGGGGAGGGGGCAAGTGCTCCTGATTTAAAATATCCCTTGAGGTTATGTAGCTATATGCAGCTGCAGTTTTCTTCATGTGGTGCCCCCTTGAACAAAGTTTGCACTCCCCGGAGGCCCTCCAGACATTTAGCCCCAGTTATGCCACTGAGTATAATGGTCATTGCTTGAGCTTCCTTCTGCTTGTGTGCAGTTGTAGACTAGCCTGATAAAGCCTTGTCCAGTTACAGTATAGCTGGACAAACTTGTGGCCCCTCGAATGGAGGAAAGAATTGTATTGGGCTTTGCTGAGAATGACTGCCATGGAACACTTGCTTTGTACAGTGGTGATAATGGTGCCTTTTGTCTTGGAAGGAGGGTCATTGAGAATGCCCAGTGATAGCGTAACCAGGCGTACCTAATTCATTATAAATGCCTCGGTTTGATTGGAATTGAGGCACTTCGTAACTTTTCTCTGGCAGATAAAAAATAAATTGATGGCAACATAAATTTCTTTTCAGATACGGGTATCTCTGATAGCATCGGATGAGTTTGAGGTTGTTGACGGCACTGTTGATCAGAAGGAGTGCGTCTGTGCCCAGACTTCAAAGAGAGTGGAGTTCCAAGTGAGAGGTCTTGCACTGGGAGAAATTGACGTTGAAGGTATCTAAGGCTGGCTTGGTGTTGGGTAAAATGTCGGTTGTGCTGACCTAGGGGTGTGTACCATAGTTCTGACACACCACAAATTGAGGTCAGACTGTGTGCACATGCTAGGTCAGTGTGTGTTTTCTGGCAGCTGTGTGTGGTAAATCACTTAATGAATCCCTGATAAAATTATACCAGGCAAGATATGGGACGGAGGGGTACCCCCCTTACCTGTCCATCCCTATACATACTGTAGACTATTGTTACCCAACACATCCCCCCTAGAAGTCTGTAAAGAATTCCTGAGATTCCGATCAAACAATGACGGACACAAAGGCGGGGGGTTCTCTCTGTCCCATATCTTGCTTTAAATGGATAAAATGCTTAGTTCTAGATTTACTTTGTCCTATGTGTTTGTTGAAAGCAATGTTTGTTCACCAAATTCTCAGTTTGCGTACCTCGTATATCAAATTAGTCCTTACAGGTAGCCCCTGTTTGAAAATGACTTATGTATTTCTAGGGATCTTTTCTGAAATATGAGGCTTTGAGGCCATGTTTCCTTGTGTTTGTATAGAGTGTACATTTGATGGAAATTAACCCTTTCTTTGAAAAAGCTGTTGCCTTTCACTTGCAAATGACTGTTTTAATGCAGTATTTAAAAGTAGATTGAATGATTCAGTGAATTTGTTTGCTGTCGTGATATCAGTTCATGCAGTGTCAGTGGCTGATGACGAGTTACTGTGTGGCAACGAGGCCAGCCTAAGTGAAGAGACTGGAGTCAGCGACGGCGTACGCAGAAAGCTCCTGGTGGAAGTGAGTTGCTCATGCTTGCACCCGCTCATATTTATAATCTGATCAGAGTAGAAACAGGAAAAAGCTTATGGTTACACAGCGACGGCTTGCCGACCACTTCATTGAATATGTCCTTGCAGTTTAGAAAAGCAACAGGTGTTGTGTTATGTTGTCAGTGGAGTTGTTATGCTGAGAATCCTTCAATTACAAGAAAACATGGATCCATTTTTATTGTATTTTCTATCATTTGGGAACCAAGTTAAGAACTCATTTTATCCAAGGAAGAAAATATTTATCATTCATTGCTTCCTTCCCGAACCCCCCCCCAAATGCAAGGGAGAAGGTCAATTATAGACGTAAAAACTTGAGTTTTTAATTTTTGTACACAGCCTGAGGGAATTGAACATCAGTATAGCATCAATAAGTACTTCTGCCCGAGCGGTAAGATGGAGGTTCTTTTTCTGCTTTTCTGATCCTCGAATCTCATTTTGCATTGAAAAATAAATTATGGTGACATAAGCTCTTGCTGTTACTTATTAAAAGCCTGAACTTGCCGTCAAGTGTATTGGCATCGTAGGGTGATGTGCAATGGAGAAATAGTGTGACTTTGCAGTATTTAGTGTGATTACATTTCTAGGCGGCACCGCTGCTCTTGATAAGAGAGCCAAATTTCCATTGTCTCTGGTTTTCCCCTCCCCCTCACAGAGTTTCCATTTTACTCGTACATCAAGAGGTTCCCACTGCCGACGCCACCCAACACTGTCCCGGGGTCCATGAGGGGCCGGATGTCTCTGACAGGTAGCCTTATAACCCTCTACACCCTTCAAAAGTCACCTTGTTGGTTTCTGGAGAATTTTGCTTGAGTTGGCCTTTGGTACTTTATGTCCCTCAAATATTAAAAGGTCCACAACACAAATTTTACTGGGAACATACTTCAAGCAATGTTTTACCCTACAGACTATTTTAAAAAGGACATTCCTATTTTAGTCATTTTGTTAAAAAGTGCACTCGTCTTGTCAACCTCAAAATATTTCTGAAGGAGGGTGCTATGGCTTGGATGTCAACTGTGGAAGACACTGCTCATAAGCTCAAAATTTGCTCATTGGTGTTATCTGCAAGAAAAACTTGCTCTTTGGCCAACCACGGAGTGTGCCCATTTGTTTCTTAGACAATTGAAGATTTCAAAAGAGGCAGGAAAGGTCTCGCCAAGAATGCTTCTTGGGAGTTAGCATTTTACCGGCTCATTGCATTTCAGAAAGGGTTTCTTATCCTCACGTCCAATTATTGGCATCCACAGGTCCTGAGGTTGAGCATTTGTACTGCTCTGATGTGAGTGCATTGATTGCTGGAGTACCCACATGGAACTTACATACTCTCTGTCGATCTAGTTCCCATTTAAGCTTTAAAGGAGTTTTTTGTTTAGGAGAAGTAGCCAGTGTTTCCAGGATCCTGTTCTAGACATTTCTTGAGATTAGGGAGATGATTTAAAACCATGAAATGCTTTAAGTGTAGAAAGTTTTGCTTGATTATGAAAATATGCCTTCTCCCCCAAAAGGTCAGATTTTGATAGGGCAACTATCTCCTGGAAGGCTGTAGTAGGTGACACCTTTTCCTCTGTGCACTCTCCATCTCTCCATAAGTTTATAAGCTTGTCCAGTGATTTCCCTCTGAATTGGAACTCGGTTGCTGATTCAATGGGGGCAGGGGGGCAACTTGTCCCAAAGGGGACATATTGCCTAGAGATGTGTCTGAAAAGAAACAATGACAGAGCTCAATTGAAACGGTACAATACATGTGATGTGGTTTTTTGTTTGTTTTTTTTTAGTAATGACCTCGTTTACCTTTACCCTTCTTCCCCCCACCAGGTGATTTGATGGGTCAGACGGTTAGTAACCTGGACAACCTCCTGCAGATACCAACGGGATGTGGCGAGCAGAACATGCTGGGGTTCGTGCCCAACATTGTGGCCATGCAGTACTTCACCCAGAGTGGCACCCTGACGGACGACCTCAGGACCAGGGCCCAGACCAACATGAAGAAGGGATACATGCGGGAACTGAACTATCGGCTCAAGGTACAGTCCCAAGGTGTAGCTCTGTAATCGCACCTGATATTTGCCGCAAAGAAATTTTCCACATTGCTTCTCTTAGTGTGGTTAATAGCCTAAGTAATTATGCCACTTTTGGTTGGCTTCAGATTCAACCTTAAAGAGTGCATTTGCTCCATCACTCTTAAAGGTCTTCTTTTTGCTGGTAATATAAAGTGAAAGCTGCATGAGTTTTTTGACACACACTGAATTACTTTTTTGCTTTTGTACTTTAAGTTTACTTGCCAATTTTTGGCAAAAATACAACTTTGATGAGGGAAAGATTAGTGTTGTTTTGAAGGCTTGAGGGCTGTGTGACGGAGCTACTTAATTGTACATGACATTGTCTTGAGTTACACAAACTGTAAGGCGCTGTCGTGAAGCTTTGGAAGAATGCAATGTTTGCCGGGAATCTGCGATGAAGAAGCTTCAGAAAGAAATTGAATCATAAGAAAGAGCAGCTCTCGAGAGGGTACTCATGTTTTTTTTAACAAATTGTCAGGAAATATACTGTTCACTGTTTAATGAAAATGCAAGTTTTTCACTTGGAGACTTGTTACACATGCATTCAAACTTGTTGATTGTTGAAGGATGGCTCCTATTCTGCATTTGGTGAGAGCGATGAGGAAGGTAGCACCTGGTTGACGGCGTATGTAGTCAGATCATTTGCCCAGGCAGCTGAGTTCATCAGCATCGACCAGAGGGACCTGGACGTGACCATCGACTGGCTGAAGCAGCAGCAGAACAAACAAGGCTGCTTCAACGCCCGCGGCAAACTCTGCCACAAGGCCATGGCAGTGAGTATGAAAAGAACCAGTTTCGGCAGTCCGGCATACTAGTCCAAGATTCCCAGCCGGGTCGACACACGATAGAGTTGGGTCGATGGAAGTGTTCGAATTTGCACACTTGTTTATGTGTGTCAATCCAGGCATTTTCATGAGGGAGATGGCTGATGAGGTGTTGGAGGCTGCACATCAGAAGCCTTCTGAACTGTGATTTGCAGTGTTGCAGGGATATCTGTTCTGCAGTTTATTCTGAGGATACACAAACTGATGGCTTTACACGGACCAAAAGCGTGGGAGTTATGTTGAAGCCATCCAGCCACCTTTTAAATACACCTTTGTATGCTTTGCAGTACAATGTACATGTGTTCAGAAAACAAAAATCTTTATCAACGTTTCTCTCTGTGGTCAAGTTATCACTGCTCTTTCCAGGGAAACTGAAGTTCTTCAGATTTGTGACACACGATCTCTCCTTCCGTTGCAGGGAGGGGTGAACAATGAGATCACGTTAACTTCTTACGTGGTTACCAGCTTGCTGGAGGCAGGAGTGGCACCTGAGGTGAGTCTGCTCAAATCCTAAAATGGAAGAAATGCGTGTGTGCCAACTTTTAAATTACTAGTGTGAATCACTAGCGTCAGAGGTCCACGCATTGCGGGTTGCGTGAATCTTGTGTGGGCTAAGACAAACAGGGTTCTCCCCAGGATTTGTAAAAACTGGGGGGATTTCCATTGTGGTTTACCAACATTTTGCAAAGCCATGGCGTGGGGTTCAGACCCCGCCCAAGGGCTCCGAAAATTTTGGGATTTTAGATGCTCTCAGCTGCATTTTAGAGCATTTCCTGGGTTTTTCAAGTACCTTTTCTCAGGAAAATATAACAGATTCAATTTTTTTTTAATTTTGGATATTAGTATTTTAACAAATGATCAGTTTTCCTTTCTGGACTACCAATTAGGCCTGTAGGCACAAAAGGAGTCATTTCAAGTTTCAGACATGCAACAACATGTAGTGGCTGTTTAATCAACGATATAGACACCTGTTTATTCAGTTTTAATTTTCATACATGTTTCAATCTCTCCGTTTTGCTGATCAGACCTGAAACCATGAGCTCCATTCAGCTGTAAGGCAAAAATATTAGCTTAAGGGATTAAGCAAATGTCATAAAAATATAAAACGATTTTGTCTTTATATATAATATACAACAAGGCTTTTCTTGTATATCGACAAGAAAGAATACCCGCTGCAGGTGGCTGCTTCGTTTGGGTTTCCCTCAGCGCGGACTGCTGAAGTTATTGGCTTAAAAAAGAGCTCTTTGATTGAGTTTCTGCCATTGTGCGCAAGACAAAGCACGGTGATATGGCAACGAGAAATATCGTTCCTGTCGTAGATGTATTAATACTCTTACACAGGGCTATGGCTGCCGCCATGAAAAAAATCTTGTATGGGATCGCTGTTGTAAGTTCTGCGAATGGTGTTATATGATATTGTAACCTTCGTAAATGCAGCCCCTGTAGCATATTGAGCACACGGCACAGAGAAAGCACACCTGCGCGTGGGTGCATGTACGACGCCCATGACAGGAGTTCAGATTTCATGCAACACCAGCCACGAGGAACGTTCGGTGCCAATGTACGTGTATGGTGTTCAGTACAGTGTGGCCGCCGACCCGTGGTGCCCAATGTATGTACAGTACATGGAAAAATGCCGGACTAAACTTTTTTTTTCATCTAGATTTTCCGAACATGCAATCTGCATTATATAAGAAAACTCTAAGCCGTACTGTCATAATTATATTGTGCGTATCGGGTATAAAAAAATGGGTATCGGCCCGTTTTTTGCATATCGGGCCCGATACACTAGTTTGTACGTGGGGAGAATCCTGACAAATCTACAAGAGGTCACCCTCTTTCTGGAAAAGAGACGTTTTGGGGTTATGGCTATTTGTTGCAAGGAAGAGAAGTGGTCAAGGAAAGAAAGATAGAGCCGAAAAGAGTGTTCAAAGTGCGAAAAAACGGATTTACTGAATTTCCTTAACCATACAAGAACAAAGGAATGACCACACTCGGTTGGCAACCTAAGTGCGTGAGAGTTGGAATTACGTGATGCAGTCATGGTCCGCAAATTTACATTTGGAAATTTCTCTTTCTTCCTTTTCTTTGCCTGTTGAAGCTGCATGTCTGCACCTCGCTAGCGTCAAGTTGAGATAGAAATCTCCTTGTTGAAACAAATTGTGCAAATTTGTTCAATGCTATGCCTGCATTGAAAATGGAGCATCAATAAACTTGAATGGAACAGGGACCTGGTTTTGTTTTTAAAAAGGTCTTTTAGCTATTTTAATGAATTTGCTAGCCAAATTAAAGATGAATCGTTCATTTCCAGATCATGTGTGTTCTGAACAAGGTTAAACTGAACTCACTATTGATTGCGCAGTGCAGATGTCAAAACGACAGACCACTTCAATCATGCCGTATTGAAAAAAGTGAAAAAGCCAGGTCTGACAATGAATATGCTAGAAATATGATGTAAGCTGTTGGAGCCACAACAGGGAATAAATTCACTTCAGCTTGGGCCGTTGAATATGGATGTGACGAGGGTTGAGACTTGTCAGGATTTTTCAATGTCAGGATATTCCAGAAAATCTTTCAGGATTTGCAAAATCCCTCGGTATACCATTGGGTTGATTTTGTGTATAAAAGTTTATACAAAAAACAAATTGGTCTTTCAAAGGATGCTTGCAGGGAAGCATAACTACAGACCACTGACAGTCAACAGCTGCGGGACATTTTTAAAAGTATCAGACTGAAAAGAATACACTTTTGAAGTTACAGTGTACCATAAATGGCTGGTAGGCCTAAAAATGGGGAGGGGGACAAAATAACTACCTTTAATCATAATAACTACCTATTAAGCCCCCCCCCCAGTTCCGCTGTTGCTGTGGAGCCTGCAAAGCTCTGGTGATTGTTTTGGTTTGTTATTTTCTTCCAATCTCGCTCCTGAGAGAGATACTACTCATGTGAATTTGAGTGGGAAAACCCACCACCAGGCTAAACAAATAAAACCATGTGGTTTCATCAACAAAATGTTGAAATTATAAAAAGTTTCAAAGCAAGTAAACATTTCTTTGTTTTTATGTGGTTTTTTGGCCTTTCTGTGTAAGTTTCTGCTAGGATAGAAGTTTTAGGTCCTCCTTGATATATTAATTTTGGTCACCATGGCCAATAAGCAGTTAGCAGTGGTTTCTGTATTATACAGTTTCTGAAATTAATGAGCAGTAAGACTCATCAAGAGGGAAAAGTGAGACAGCTGGTTTCATTGCAGTACATGTGCTTTCTTTGCAGGATCCCGTCATCCTGAATGCATTGAGCTGCCTAGAGTCTGAGGCCAACACCCTCTCTGACACCTATGCAGCAGCTCAGCTGGCCTATGCCATGGTGCTGGCTGGTCATCCAGCTGCATCTGATGTCATGGACTATCTTGAGTCGGTGGCAGTGACGGAAGGTAAAGTCAAGCGGTGGCTTAGATGGCCTTGGCATTGTAAAAAGGGGGGGCATGGGGGCACTCCCTGTCTCCTGGGGGGAAAATGGACAAGTGAAAAAAAAATTGGAAAACAGCAAAAGCAAAAGGAAGAAAGGGGATGAAACTCACCACGTTGCTTGAAAATACTGATGGCTTGTCAGTTTGCTGCAGAGGAATGCTTGCTCCCTCCCCTTGAAGAGCAAAAAAAAAAATTAAATAAAACACATCATCCAAAGTGGACTTCCTTGGTAGAGTTGGTAGTGGGGTTTGAAACTCCCGAATCTTCTAGTTTAGCCCTTGCAATCAAGAGTGTGTATTGCATGCACCAGTCTGTGTGCATGGCTTAAGCTGCCCAACAATTTCAAAATGTTTGAGGACACCTTCAAAAAAATTGTTTCCTCTGCAGGCGAGCACAAACGGTGGGTCAGTAACAGGGATGACGTGGCTGAGTATGACACTTACTACCGAGCCTCCCGACAAGCCCAGGAGATTGAGATGACGGCCTATGTGCTGCTGGCCTACACTGAGTACTTGAGCCCTGAGGAGGCCCGCGTCGAAGGTAGCCCTGTTTCCCGCTGGTTAGTCAGCCAGCAGAGCAGCAGTGGCGGATTTTCCTCCACGCAGGTACGATATGCTCAGACACTGGCATGTTTGATCGATTTGTATTGATTTTGGACTTGGTTTGAAAAGAAATTGCAAATGGCTGTAGATAACCCCGATGAGTTTCGAAGCTTTTTTGTGCAAGTATGGTATTTTGTGTAGTCTTTGAGTTGTCCACAATGCTGAAACAAGGTAGAAGAAGAGGCACAGTGTCTTTCGGTGCTTCAAACTGATTAGAATTCTGTGCACAGACATATTCGGCTGAACGGGAAAGTAGATTGTGTGGATTGTGTGTTATCTCACATCTAGTGGCTCGTAAAATAATGAAACTTTCCAAGCATCTTTAGCACAGGGTTTGGATTGTATGTTGCACAAGGAACAGTAAACTTATGTTTGCCATCATTTTGGGGATCATGTCAGATCATTGTGCCATTCAGGTGCCAACAGGCAAAACAGAAACCTGTACATCTGAACAGTGAGGTGGTGACATTTTAAGAAGTCCACATGGGCAGTTTGCCTTTCTCATTGAAAGTTACTGTCAGTTATGATGACTGTCACACTGTGCAATGAGACAAGTGAAGTAATTAAAATTTGAAATTGTGATGGGTTAATGGCTAATGGATTTGTGAGGGGAGGTACGTACTGTATGTCCGATTAAAAAAGATTGAACACCCATTTTCTTGAAACTGAGTACTGTAAATTTATATAACACGGTTTTTTTTGCCCTTACCCAACGTATATATTGATAAACACTTGCCGGGGACAGCTGGCCGGTGGTCGAGTGGTTAAGACGTCTACACTAGTAAGCAGGAGGTCGTGGGTTCGAGTCCTACCCGAGTAAGCTTGTGACTTTTTTTGCAAGCTCTTGGACAAGCACTGAGCATACAGTGTTTATTAATATATACATTGGGTAAGGGCAAAAAAAACCTGTTAGATAAATTAACATCTCCCCAACGCAAAAATACATCTTGAGAACTGAGTACTGTAGTTCTTTAGTTTGTTAAGCTGAATGTTGACCCCCAGAAACTGGTGAGAGCTTGTGTGTGAGTGTAAAAGATGTTTCTCCTCTGCCCATGTAACTCACGCAAAATGCGTCCCCCCCCCCCTTGTTTGTGCAGGACACTGTAATCGGCCTGCAAGCCCTTGCAGCCTATGCCGGTATCCTGAGTAAGGAGCCGCTCAAGCTGAGGGTGGAGGTGATGGAGCGGGGCCGCAAGGTGCGGCAGCTTGAGTTGCTGGAGAGGAACAAGCTGGTGGTGCAGGAGATGGACCTGAACGTGCCCAACACCTACACCGTCCGGGCCAGGGGGAAGGGATGCGGTCTGTTGCAGGTGGGCAGGCCACAGAGGAAAAAAATAGGGCTCTTTGGCATCATTTTGTCATACTGTCAAGCTCTGCTGTTGTTTTTGCGTTCAGCTAGTCAGTCAGTGATTGGTTGTGAGAAAAAGGAAATGACATCAAACTGTAATAGAAAAAAATCAAACTGGGGGGTGGGGCCAATGGTAGTCATGCCCCCAAGACATATTTCTATGCGTTGGAAAGTAATGAAATGAAGGGGATTTGGGGATACTTTTTTCACTTCCTTTCCTTCCATAGGTGTGTTTAAAGCCTTCAAAATGTAGCTTTACCTCTCAGAAGGCCATAAAACACATTGCCCCCAACCCCAATTCAGGCTGACAAAAATTGGTTGTGTACTGCTGAGCTCAACCAGGAAAGTTTCATTTGTGCCCAAAGATTGACTCAAATAAAACCAGTTGGAGTTGGAGTGACACACCAAAACGTCTGGCAGCTAATGAAGGAACCACATATGAATAAATTTGTGAGCAGGTAAACAGATGCATCATGAAGAATTTGAATGACTCTCTTTTAGGGGTAATCATTACCAATACCCAAGTGAAAAAATCTGACGGAAGTTGTTTTTTAAACAGCAATTTTGTTGCTGCTTTGTCCACTCAGTTCACAGTGTATTACAACATGCTGCCCCGAACGCCACCAGTTGCACCATTTGCCCTGACGAAAAGGTCAAGAAATCTGGACAATCTTTGCAAGAAATTTGTTACTAATGTGTGTGCCAGGTGAGTTTTATGATAGGCAGCTTTTAAGCATGCATGATAATGTCCGAAGGGGTCGTGTCTTTACGGATGTGCGGTTTGTTGAGTTGTTTCATTTCTGTCTGTTCCCCAGCTATACCGGGACAGGTGGGGCCAACATGGTGCTGGCCCAAGTCAAGTTGGTGACAGGTTTTGTCCCGGACACTGCCTCCATCGCTGACCTAAATGCCCAGGCGATGATGAGCAAACTGAAGCGTGTGGAAACAGAGGGCAAGACCATCAACTTCTACATTGACCAGGTTTGTTGTGAATGGGCTGTGAAGTGCCGACTTCTTTACCGAATACCGAACAGGCTTGTTGTTCCCCAAGTGCCTTCCATTGCATTATCAAGTATTCTTCCACAAACGAAGAACTAACACACAGCTGTTGTTTTGCCGGCTTCCAGGGCCTAGATGCCACACCAGTCTGTTGGGACTTTGTTGCCAACAAAGAGTTTGATGTGAACAACGCCAAACCTGGCACTCTGAACATGTATGACTACTACGAGAAAGGTGAGTGCCTTGGATACACAGGGGTGCATTCAATAGTGCGACACCCCACGGCGGAATCAGTTTGTTCTCCACAATACCGAAGCCCGCAGAAAGTGGTTTCAAAAGTCCAGTCTATTCAAAGGAACTTAAGCACGCAAGTTATACAACAATGTAGTCAGTTGCAGAGTAAGCCATTTGCGAGTTAAATTTGAATAAAATCTGATACGCTGAGTTATCTGATTGCACATAAACATAACAATTTGAACTCTCCAGACTAAAGACACTGTTGCTATACCTCATGATTCGGGGCAAGCTTTTGCTAAGCGACGACCATCTCTGGAATGGACTGGTTCCTTTGTGCCCTTGTTTTCCATTGAGAACAGTGTATTGTTGAAGGCGTCTCTTATGTAACTAAGGAAAAGCTTGCCCCGAATCATGAGGTATAGCAACAGTGGCTTTAGTATGGAGAATTCCAATTGCTATGTCCATGTGAATTTAAAGAACTCAGTGTATCAGATTTTATTCAAATTTAACTTGCAAAAGGCTTATTGAAATAGTGCTGAAATAACATTGGCTGTATCCACCGTAGGCTAGAAATGTGAGTCACTAATTGTGCCAAACACTCTGTAACCTTTCTGGTGAATTTGGTAGTTCTGCTGTATTTCCAGCTCCAGTGTAAATACCACTTGTGTTGGAACTCGAACAGAGTTTAGATATTTCATTCTCAGCTTCTGAGATCTCCCATTGAGCTGATTCAATGGAAATGAGCTAGTTTTGGAACTGCTCCCCATCGGATCATATCTCAGAAAGTCCATGTCCACCATCAGCAGAAAAACCATGCTGCGGTCGCTCACAGTCCTTAAGCACATAGACTTACACTCTTTCTCCTCCCCCCCCAAAAAACCTCAAACAACAAACTTCTCTTTGTTTCTCTGACAGACCTGGCCATCTCAGAGTCCCTTGAGTTCCTGTGTGAACCAACAGAAGAGGAAATGCCTGAACCAGGTAAACCACCTAGCTCCCCAGTAGACCCACATCCCCTTGAGCCTGATACAGCCCCTCCTCTCAGAGCTGACGAAACCTCAGTAGATCCAGACTTTGAAACTGCCCCACCAGTCAAATCAGTTAGAGCTGAAGAAATAGGAACAGGCCAGTCAGATGAACAAGACTGTTATTGGTCCATCCTTAATTAAGGGAATGGGCCGTGCTTGGAAGATTTCTTGTAAAATTTGCATCAACACATAAAATAAACATACATGTAACAACAAAACACAAAACAAAAGCTAAACGACAGCCATCATGTACTGAAAGTTGTCTGAAGAAATTCCCAAGAATCGTATCGTCATAGGACGGAGTCCTTTATCTGGCAACTGTTTACTGTTATGCAACGACACGTATACATGTATGTAATGCAGTAGCGTTAGCGTGTTCCATCTTGTCAGACTCAAGTGATGATAATTCCAGCGTTGCTTTCTTGGGTGGGGATGATGAGACCTTGTCTTGTTCTGTCGGCCTTTGCACAGACGGTACAGTGCTGGGTTTCAGCAGAAGGCGAGTCCCTGCAATCCCAAATTTCCTCTTCAGAAATGAAGAGGGCTCAAAATCGCTATGCACAAAGTGTGCATTGCACACCCTGGAATTTTGAGTCCTCACAAAATCGTGTGTTGTCCGCAAGTTTAACCCACAAACACTGGTGTGAAAAGCTGCTTGGGATTAGCACCGGAGCTGAGAGAGTAGTATTCTTGTGTGGACCGATCAACTTTCTTGCCGGAACTATGCTTTCTGGTCTGGAAAGTCAAGTCTGCCCTAAAACGTCACATTTTTGCCAAGATTTGTCTGCTGCTCCTCATTGACCTATTTCGATAAATTTTTGTGAAGAGCCCAGGCAGTGACTGAAAAAAGCACACAGAAAATGCCATTTTTGCTGATTTAATGACATAAAAGAGGGTTTCGTCCAACTTATTGTATGTAAGACGGTTGAAAACTATCATATAACGTCAATTTAACCCTACATGGCCCATCCCCTTTAATCTAGGTGAGCCTACACAACCTGTAGTCTACTCATCAGTTAAATCTCCCGTAGATCTATAGCCACTAGTTGACACATCAGCTAAACTAGATAAGCCTCTCAAGAAGCAAGTAGTTGACCCTTCTCCCCAAATTGGCAAGTCAACTGCTGGACCAGTACCATATGTAAGTGCTAGATATGAAAAGCCCACTGTAAAACCAAGAGTAGATCCATCTGCTAAACCATATATGCTTACTGTTAAACCAGATAAACCTGTTCCTGAAGTAGAACCAACTGCCAAGCCAGACAAACCAATTGTTCCAGAAGTTGAACCCACTGCCAAACCAGACAAAGCA